GGGTTCGAGCTTGACCGCAATCTAGTTAGATAGAAGCTCACAATAGACCACCTCAAAATAGGTGATAGCTCGATATCGGCAAGCTCGGTATAGATACTCGCTCGGGAATTGGGAGGTCGGCACCAAACTATTCACCAAAAGTCATACCGCGACACGTGGACTGGGGACAATATTTGACAATCCTAACGAACAAATATCCACCGGTAGTAGAGATAGTTCATGTATTTCATTCGAGGCATAATGGGTGCAGAAAAATGTCAGGGATGGCAGATCCATCGACCGGACAAACGAAGAGGAAACCACAGAATCAGTTGCACTTGCAATGCAGGCCTCTCTAGCCTGGGCGGCTGATCACCTCTGAAGCTGGATGCTGATAGCTTACTATCACATGCTTATGCGGGAGTAGTTCAAGTATCTAAAAATCTTTTAATCTTCGCTTTTGTTACTATTGGTTTTATGCATTAAGCTAACAATTTTAAGTCCATTTCCATTTGAGAGATCAGCTCCAAAGACTGATATTAGATGAATTGCCTTCTTCTTCTTAGGTTTGTCAAGTGTAAAGATATTTTTGTAATGGTACAATATGCCACAGCCCATACCTATGATAATTTATCCCATAAGTTGAAAGGTGGATATTAATGGTCATTGTTTTGTATTTACATCTAAATCTTTTTGTATACTACGAGAGGAACTTACATGTAGATTTTGACTGGAAAATAGCGGCTCTCTTGAGAGAGTCGATAAAGAGCTTCCAATTGTTGATATTTCGATTGATAAATTGATTGGAATTTAATTCGAAAGTAAAATTAGTTTTGCAAGGTGGGGTTGCACTAATGTTAGATGATATGAGCATTATTGGTAAACATATTCCATAACCAAAAATTAGTCCTTAGATATATGTTGAAACCAAATTTTTAAAGTTTGATAAAATAATCGATGGTAATAAGATCATAAGTTATGAACTTCATGAATGATTTTTTTTTAGGGAACACTTCATTTTTTTTTTTATTCAGTTATAGTGTGAGTCGTATATACAGCTTCTGCAGTTACAAACGATATGATTGTAGGCTCACTGGTGACTCAAATGCTATAGTGTTGTCTCACATTGGAAAACTTGCTTCAGTTTGACCATTCTGAGCTCAAGAAAACGCTAAAATTTTTGATTTTTTTAACTTCAACATCAATAACATGATATATGAAGACACTTTTTTGTGCAAAAATGGTGAAAGGTTGTAATATACAATATGTTAAATTTAAAATAGTTTACGTGCAATACACGTATACACCAACTAGTATCATAAATAATTGAATAAGAAATCAGTGTCATTACAAGAATAAGTATGAAAAACAATTGAATTTTATGATCAAAATTAATGTTTGCTATAGTATTGTATGAAAGTTAATATAAATAGATTTTGTATGACTAAAATTGTCATTAAGGACAACTTGATGAATAACCCCCCAATGATTAAAAATTTTGATTATACCATTATTCGGACCCTAAGGATGAAATCATGTATGGTTCTCTCCCGGTTTGAAGTCCCTAAAAATTTATAGATTTTTCATTTAGAACACCAACCATTACAATCCAATTATTTTTTGGCTTCAATGCAAAATTTTCCAAACATTCTAATAATTTTGAGGGAAAAACTTTTTTAAATAGTGGTAATTAATCACTTGCTTTTGGAGCCATTTTGACCAATTTTTTTACTAATTTTTTGAATCTTAAATGATGTGTCACAATAATAGCCATTAAATAGTTAGTGAGAGTTTGTAGGACTTACTGATCTACGACTTACATTGATTTGGGATTCAAAATCGAATATAAAAATTTTTGATTGTAGCATTGTTGATTTTCTTCAATGACAAGATTACTTAAGTAGGCCCATTGAGTACACTACATTTGTGAGACCCGAGAAAACTAATTACACATTTTATTTTATGTCAGGAGTTTAGATACAAGTATTTATTTTAGTCATCATATGTAAAATTAAAATAGTTGAAAAAAATATATCTTTACTTGTTTCAGATTGATAAGCCAAATTTTGGGGATGAAATTCCTAAAATGGGAAAAATTTTAAAACTCGAACAAACATAACAAACATGTAATATTTATAATAAGTATATTAATACATGACATGCATCCGTAGGAGTGGCAATCAGTATTTAATTATGTGTAATGATATGAAACCTAAACATGAACAATGAAAATTTTAATATTCAGAAATAATCTATAAATAATGATTATAGGGAGAATTGTTTTATTCAAGTACGTTAGCGCAAGTGAAATTAATTGAGTGGCAAGCATGTAACATCAATTTATTGTTATTAAAATAAAATGTGTTAGTATATACAAGAAATGGTTAAGGGTCCAAAATACGAATTTAATGGGTGATCAATAATTTGGATATATATATATATATATATATATATACATGTCTATGTATAAATATGCATATAAAGAAAAAGTAGACATATAAATATAAGTATGTATACATATACATTATATAAGGAAATATATATATGGATATGTATGTGTGTGTGTGTGTGTGTGTGTGTGTATAAATAAAAAAAAAAGAGAAACAACATGGAAGGCTCCACTTAGCGAGACATGCAAGGCATGTCTTGCATGCACAAAAAAAAAAAAAATTAAGTCTTAGACATTTTCGGCAAGAGCAAGAACAGGAAGGAAAGAAGGAGAAGGAAAGAAGGAGAAAGAAAGAAAGGGAAGAAGAAGGAAAGAAAAAAAAAAGTGTGGGTGAAAAGGTAAGAATTATAATCAATTTTTCTTCCTCTAAGATGTAGGAATCCAACTCTAATATATATATTTTGAGTGTTGCATGTATTTAAAGAATGGTATCTTTTAAATATGATGCTTAGTAAGAATTTTGATTAATACATGAAAGATTTACCTCAATATTTATATGGGTTTGTAAATTAAGTTAATGTTGTTGCTTGAAAAATAGAAGAGTAGAATTATTGCATGTGGGTTTGTTGGAATACTTGTTATGAATGCATAATACCATAGGTGTTGCTTGGAAAAAATTAGCATAGTAGTTTGGTGGGTAACTTAGAAATCTTGTGAATTGTTCTTGAATTTTTATGAATCTATGAATATGAGTAATTACAAGTAAACATGTCAATATATGCTTAAATAGAAAATTACGCAAATTTAAGTATATTTTTGTTATGTTTATAATTTTATGAAAAATGTTAAATTGTGTCTAATTGATTCGAATAAATATTTTCTAAACAGATTCAAGAAGATTAGCTAAATTTGATTTGAGTAAATAATTTTACTCGATGCGAATTGATTACGTAACTTGACTCGAGTTGATTATCAAACTATTAGTTTAATCAATTCGAATAGATAATGTTATTTAATATAAATAAATTATTTAATTTGAAGGGATATAATCATTAAACTAGGTTCGAGTAAACCATCTCAAACTTAAGCGATATTACATATTAATGTATGAATGGAATTGTGAATATCGGTTAGGTCAGGTCTAGAGATGAACACTACTAAAAATGGCGCATTAGAAGCTTTGGCGGAGGGGTCGTTTACGAGTAAAACATCACGCAAGGTTAGTGCACCAACCTACAACTTTTTTTGTGATAATTTATTAGACTTTTAAACATATATTTTTGCTACGGTTATTGTTTAGAATAATTAATTGAACAGAGTGTCGATTAAGTGACGAGAGAGGATTATGTGAGTTGGATCATCTAAGTAACATGAATTATTTATATGGCTTGAGTCGTGTACGTGATGGGATTTGATTATGTGGTAGAGTCGTCTAAGTAACATGATCCAAAACTCTCTGTGATATGGGTCGTCTGAAGGAAAACCATTAATGTGGTTTGGGTTGTCTCAATGACGAATGATATCCATGATGAGGTGATAAATACTTGCAATACATGTGGCTTGTGTGGCACAAGAATCTGTACAATTAAATATAGTTTGAGTGACGGTTGTTGTTTACGAGATGATTAGTTTGTGTGCGTGTGGGGTATCCATTGTGAGGAATAATTTAATTATGTAAAAGTAAATATATGTGTTGTATATTTTACCGATATGGTATATACAAGTTATGCCTATGTGATATACGCGAATGTGCATGAGGTGAAGCCTAATTTGTAAGTAAGTATCTAATAAGTGGTTACGATTGTTCTTAAATAAATAAAATTTCTTTTATCACTTATTGTGCTCTTAAATATTAATTGTATCTTTGCTTTTACTAATAATCTTAATGACTTTTTAGGAAAAACCATAAAGACATGAGGAGTCCATGCCGAGTCTAGAGGGTCGATTGAGATATCATCATGAGATTCATTTTTTTATATATGTCCTTTAAATTTAAATTGTATTATTATATGTCATATTCTTGAGATTAATATTACAGTCTGTAAATAAGCAGGGCTCATGACAAGTCATACCACTAAAGGGATTTATGAAATTTTTTTTTATATGCTTATTTTTATATATAAAGAAAGGTGTATGTAAAAACAAAAATGGGGATTATAGATATTGTCCAACAGATTGGGTTGTTACAACATTAAAACAAAGAATAGGAGTAGGAGTATCAATTTTATTTATTGATACCAACATGAGGCGTATTCAATATGAATTGAGTTTAAAAATAATACGATCTATTAGCATGAATAATAAATGATTTGTGTTATTGTCAAAAACGAATAACCCGTTAAACTGATATCATAAAAAATGGGTATTTTTTTAAAAAAATTAATCTTATATTCTATAAATAATTTTAGAATTAAATATTTTTTTATCAACACAATTATTGGCACTAAAACTACAAAAATAAAAAATGATACAATTCAAATAAAATATGACTCGATAGGATACGATATTATTGACACTTTGGGCTGATATCCGGCCCATTATTTTACTACCAGGCCCATATATTCAACCCATCTATATTTTCGTCTTCTTTCGTTGGCAAGTCGTAGAACACCACACCACCCCACCTGTGAGCATGGACCGATCCGTTTTCTTCACATTCAATTCAAGACGGAAACTATATATATGCATTACCCGCATTTCTGATCGGGAAATCCGCCACTCGCCCTTGCCTCGCGTGTCCCCACGCACCAAAGACTTTACCCAAAAGCCCATGGGCCCCACCTAGGAAACCACAACGTGATCAACACGCGTGTGTGGAATCGAGTTCAACGCGCTTTTTGGGACAAATTTTGCCCTAGTCGCCTTGCTAATCCCTCTCTCTATAATCGACTATGAATCGCCTGCAACTCCGATCGTCTCTTTGGATTCGATTTCGGTCCCTTTTCTCTCTTATTGATTTTGGCTAACTCGGTGAGTATGTTTTCTGTAATTCTTTTTATCTTTTAAGCCTGTAATTTTTTTCTTGTCCGATTGCATCATATATATGTATAGAAACAGTTTGAATCTTATTCCCGTGTGTTCTGATCTGGTTTTGAAGCTTGCAGATATGGAACCTATGGATATAGTTGGGAAGACGAAAGAGGATGCTTCACTCCCTAAAGGTTTGTTTTTCGTCATAGATCTGTGTTTATATCCCGATATATGTTTGTATCTATACATGTAGATATACGTGTGTGTTCATGCGCCTTGTGACATAGACTTGATTTGCTTTTGGATGTTATATCTGTAATACAGTAAGAATTCTACAGATGGTGTTGTTATCTGTTTTCTGGCAAAAAAAATGTTTAGTATCAGCAGACTCTCGAACTGTTGATTACCAGGGGAAAAAAAAGAAGATATATCTATACCAAAGATTAATCGATCCATGAATTTCTTCATTAATGTCATTGGAATATAATCTGGAAGTATATAGACGTGGGAGGCATGTCAATCCGCTTCCCAGTTTTTTGATTTTACCTCAAACTTTTTTTGAAAGATGATACAATTGGTATTATGTAGGTACTTCTTTGCTGGGCTTAATTCTTCGTTATAGTTGGTACCATGCCGTTTTGTTTTAGATGTGATTCATGTAGTTGGTTTTTGAAAGAACTTATGGTGGCTTTTCTTTTTCTCAGCAACTATGACTAAAATCATTAAGGAGATGTTGCCTCCGGATGTGCGTGTTGCAAGAGATACTCAAGATCTTTTGATCGAATGTTGTGTAGGTGAGAGAATGCCTTTACTACTTTCTAGCTTTCAAGTTATATAACCAAGATCTATTGGTTTTAATTTTGCTGTGATTACTTGTAGATGCGCCTTGGAATGAGGATATGTATGAATATTTCCTGTCATAATTCTTGAAGTGAATTTCTTTTACAGTTTTACTTATAATTTGGCATTGTAATCAGCTTTCACTTTCATGTACTCTGGGTTGGAATGATGAACTAGTATGCAAAGCAATGTCCATGTAATGTACCGGGTTGACATGTTATTAGGGGTAGGCTACATTTGTGGTGCTAAAGTCTTAGATAATTGTAAAAAGTCACTCTATAATCCTACCATAATATTTTGAATGGTATTTTTAATATTTAATATTTTTTTGTTAAATTACCTTGCCCCTCTTACACAGCCCTATCCCATCGCAGCTGATCAGATTTAACAACCAATTGTCTCACCCCTCATACATATCTTCCCCACCATTCACTTGTTGCCCTTTCTATCTAATATTCACATATCTCTTTTTTTTTTAACTATTTCTTTAGGAAAGCTTGGTTAAAGAACTTTAAATTAGTAAGCCCCTTAGCTTGATAGGTGTACAAACTTCAGTCAACTCCACTAGAAGTTTGAACTCAGGAATAAGCTTCCTCATAAGAATTTGCTCTTTCCCCAAAGCTATCCACGTCTGAATCCCACCGGAGATCCTTTAAGAGATGGGAACACCTTTGGCTATGAGTGGTGACATCTCAAGCGTCAAGCCACTAGACAATCTGGTGGCAAACCATTGACTAGGATGAAAATCTCACTCTAAAAAATTAAAATAAACAAATGTTGTCTCTTCCATTCCTTTAATCTACTCCCCAACCTAAACATAGCTGGATCCAAAGGAGACTATTATGAGATGAGAACCCGTTTGTTTTAGACCTCAATAAACAATCCTGGTGGCCAACCATTCACTAGGATAAAGAATCTTATTGTACAAATTACATTCACATCCTCAACTTTTGTCCCAACCCTTTTTTTCCATTACATGTTGTAGAAAACACCAGTGCGTGTAATCATAGGCATTTCCAATTTATGACGTGCTAATTAAAATTGGTCAATGCTCTGATTCTAGAAACAGATTGTTCATAAGTCACTACTTTTGGACAACCACTCGTCCAGCTTTAAGGCCAGTTTTGACAAGTCTTTTATTGAGTTAATTGGCGCATCATCTTTGGCTTTTCTTGAACTATTGAGCTCTATCATGCTAATGGATCAGAATAGGGGTTCCCTTTCCTTGGTTTTGTGTAGCATCTCCAAGCTTGAAATTAACAGATTAGTTAGTTATATCAGTTGGAAATTTTTTATGTCTCCATTTGGGTTCAAGGAGTTGAGATTCATCTTAGAACTCTTTTGCCATCTAAAAGATGACATTTCAATAGGTCATTAGAAAATGGTTTAGTTTTAGTGTGTTTCTAAATAGGCTAATGTAGAAAGCAACATTTTCGCCCAGATTGTTGATTTTATGAGCTTTACCAGTCATTATCATGGAGTAAAAACAGCATAATAAAATTTTCATGTCCATGTTAACATTAACAACTCCCATGATCTCAGAATTTATAATCGATTCTTCCTCCACTCACCTCCATGGGTGAATATAGTCTACTATGAGATGGTCAGGGAAAGTGAATCGGTTAACGAGAATCTTCAACCCCCCCCCCTCCACACCCAAAAAGGGACAACAGAAAATAAAATTGTTCTCCATGTGTTACTACAATAAATTGTGGTTGTTTTTCACTTGAATGACCTTAGAACCTATTTTATAGGAAAATTACATGCTTGTCAATGTAATTGTATCTATCAGCCGCTGATCCATGTTGTCTGGTTATAACATCCAGCCAATTAACATATTTGTGTTTCCTGAGTATATGTGTAGGCATTAATACATTCTTGTTATGTTTTTTCTGTGAATTCATACGAGGTGCTATGTTCAAGGTTTTTTCCCTTTCTAATGAAGGAATTTTTGTCCTTTGTTTATGCATTTGCAGAGTTTATCAATCTTATTTCATCAGAGTCTAATGAAGTTTGTGGCAAAGAAGAGAAAAGGACAATTGCACCAGAGCATGTACTCAAGGCATTAGAGGTAACATCCATGTTTGGACTTTGTTCTTTGTTTTGTTCTCCGGGGAAGACTTTCTTCTGTCCATTTTTCTGTGCACAGTAAACTTGGGCTGTATCTTTCACAAGTTCACCACAAGTGACATGCATATGCAGATGCGGTTGTATTTGAGTCAATATTGGGTGCACAGGATTATGTAACTCATGCAAGCCAACCTCTAATTTTTATTTTTGATGCTGTCACACAAGTGATGGGCAATATATAGGAGTGCAATGAACTAGAATAACCATAAGTTGACTAATTATTGTACTAGCATTCTGTAGATTGTCAAAAAGGTAACTTGCCCTTGAGGTCTGAATGAAAACTCAATTAATGCTAGTATGGTAAATGTTTACTTTCCGAAATAAAAATGATCAATTTTCATCTCAAAATAAGCTACATAATAGCTGGTGGCTGAGTGGCATTTCAATTAGGCATGCATTAAACTGTGATGCACTGTTAATCTGTTTATTCAATATAATGGAGCTTGTTGGATATGGAGCTTGAGAAAGGATATAGAAACAACGTAGGAGAGTATGAAAGTAGATTTTGAACTCCATATCAGACCCTGAATTGGTCGTAGGGTCTCACTGGGCTCTAGAAATTGTAGATCATGGATCTTTGTCAATCATTCAAAGGTTGTAGCCGTAACTTGTTTGCTCATCGTTTTTCCTCTATATTCTCAGAGGCTTGTTTTTTTCTCTTCTCTTCTATTTCTCGTTGTGCCCCTCTACACCAACTTCTCTTCCTGGAGAAATTATATATGAATTCTTAGGAAACGAGAGGATGTTATTAAAATGAAAAAAGAGCATAGTAGATAAGAGGACAATAAGTCGCCAAATATACATAAAGAAAGCTAAATGAAAACCAAAAGAAGTTCAAACCAAAATTGCAATAAGCTAAAAAATATATATTATTAAGTGGTTGCACTAATTGCACACTTGAGCCTAATGTCTTTAATTAAAAATGGAGAAATTAAATACTTATCTTCAACCTGCACACTTGTTCCTAGATAGAAACTTAACTGTGTCATCCACATGGGACTCCCCACGACACACAATTAACTACTTTGTGTGCCCATTGGATTGCTGTTATGGACTTTTTCTTTGAAGGAGCCAATTGTACAATATGTGGCATCTCTTGAATAAAAATATTCTCGTTGCACAGGCAAGTTATGACCACAAATTGAGCCTGGGATCTTATTGTGAATCAATCGGAAGTTGGAGATGTTCGCTGAGGCTTTGGCAACTGGCAGAGCTTTATCTCCTTTTTTTTAACTGTGCAGCAGGGCTTTATATCTGCTTTTGTACACGTGAGACATAAGAAACAGTAGTACTGCATTTTTATTTGCCCGATGGGTAGCAATTAGTTCATATGTGTGACAAACATAATTTCTCTTTCTGTTGTATTGAATTTGTGTCTATGAACTTGGATCTCTCAGTGTATTTCCATACGTGACGATCTCTCTGCCAGGTTCTTGGTTTTGGGGAATACATTGAAGAAGTCTATGCTGCATATGAACAACACAGGCTTGAGACTATGGTAATGTTTAATTTCATCATGCCACCTTTCCACTTTTAACAATGTGCAAGACTGCCTGTTTTATCTTGTTAAGATAAACAGATGAGAGGGGTATATACGCACAAAGCCTTCTTTTGAATAAATGGAGATGGCCTGGGTGACATGTAACCGTGGAGCAACCATTCTCCCTTCTGTTGCATGACCTCTCAACTTCTTCAGATGCTTTTCTAAGGGTAGCAAACGTCTAAGCCCACAGTAAACATTTGATGTGGGTCTGAGAGTGGTAGATTGCGTACAAGACCCAACAGTTGGCATTATTTGCACAGAATGGCTGCCGTGTTCAAACTTCAAACCCACAATCTTAAGGTTGTTTAGCTGAATTTAACCATTGAGCAGTGGCTGCCTTGTGTTCTCCTACTCTATTAGCTTTTAAACATGTCTCTATCTGCGCTTCTAAATCTTTTCCTTTTTCCTTAATCGCAATACTTTTTGGTGGCAAACTTTTTCACCATGTACTTTGATCCAATTTGATTTTCGGTGTCATTAGACCACTGAAGGTTGAAACAGTCCATTGAATAGCTGATAGGCGAATCAACCACTTTTTTTTTCTCACCATGTTAGTTTTTGAACACGTCCAAAGATTAGTTATTAATTTCTTCTGGAAATGCTCTGCAACAGGACTCTGTAAGAGGTGTGAAGTTGAGCAATGTAGCCGAGATGACCGAAGAAGAAGCACTGGCTGAGCAGCAGAGGATGTTTGCTGAGGCACGTGCGAGAATGAATGGCAGTGCCATGGTCCCCAAACAAGCAGACCCGAAACCCGAGCCAAGTTTGAATAGTTAACTTAGGGCTGTTCTTTTCTTGAACTGTAGGCAAGCATCCTTACTCTTCCATGTGCTTTTATCTCATATATATATCGTGTACAAAAAGGCCTTGGCTAGTGCTCTGGCGTGTGTCAACTCCAGCTTAGTCTTTACTCTTTGAATTATGTCTATATATGTTGGCTGTAATTAATGTGATTTTGTTCAACTTTACCTTCATTTGAGAATGATGATGGTCTTGTCTTCTTTTCTCACTCGTTTAAAATTTATATACCAAGTTTGATCAGGTGGAGACAAAATTAAGACTTTTGCCCTCCTTTTGTACCTCGCCTTGCTCTGAATTGTGTTTTTTCTATGCCATTCATGGCCATGTATATTTTACAACTATCTATAAACTTTTACTTACAAAAAAACAAGTGTAGAGCAAGGCCAGTTGAGTTGAGCAGTTTGAAAGAAAATCGATAATGTGGATCGATCCACCTGCAGACTTGATGTGATATCCAAAACATAGTAAACACGGAACTATCTTCTAACTCAGACCCTCTCTCATCCAATCACCCCAGGCAGGGCCGGCCCTATCACAAGGCCAATAATAAAGTTTGGGCTTTTGGCTCCATATTTTTTGAGGAGGTCTCAAATTTTTTAGGTGTATAGTTAGTCAAAATCAAATTTTTTAAATTAACAAGATTTTAGGCCTCAAAAAAAACCCTATGAAAATTTAAACTCAATCAAAAATAATTTTGAGTAGTGTCTCTGTTGTTTTGCACACCTACAGAGAGAGACTCCAAAAGTATTGATGCTCAATTGAAAGACAGAGCAATCAACTCTATGCTTTACTCATGCCCCAAGAATCCCTAGACACAGGGGTACGAGCTAATCTTTTACTGGAGGGAAAGTTGGAGAAAAGCATAGAGCGTGCGGGCTGAGCTCTCGCCGTCCTCCCATCCGCAAAGCTAAGGCGGGAGAAAAAGCATAATTCCCCTGTGTCATAGGTTGCCTTTCTATCTTCCTCCCCCGCGACACTCCTAAAGCGATCGCTATCCTTTTCTTGCTTTCTTGTTGTCTTGAATTGTTATAGAACGACTTTATATCAGGTATAGCTGGTAGGATGAAGCGTTAGTGGATATAGCAAGTGTGTCGGGGATACGGCTCGGGCGTAGTATAGCATGAAACAACCTTCTTTGATAGCGGCACTATACCTTAGTCTCTCTCTAGCTTCTAGTCTATATAAAACGTAGTTAGCAGAGGTTAATCTCTCTGGCGTTCCCTCATGTTTAGCAAATATCATCGGAATTCTTTGAATGTTAGATCATGAAGAGAAAGTCAACCACTCAAGTTCAAGTCAAACAATCGACCCTAATAAGAGGAAGGGAGCCTTGGGAGCTCTTATGCGACTGATAGAGGAGTTCTTATTATCAATCTAGCGTTATGGGAATCTATTACGGAGAGGCACCTATGGCAGGATCTATCATCTTGGCAGGAATTCCTTTAAAATTGGGAACCTACAGGTTTTTAAGATTTTCAATACCCATGTTTCCTGCTCTATGAAAATTTAAACTCAATAAAAAATATATTTGAGTAGTTTGGACTCATGAAACCAATCCATAATATTAAAAATATACTAAAATAATTTTTTTAGAAAAAAAAAAGAAAAAGAAAAAACTAAGGGTTAAAAAAAATAATTTTAACTAATCAACCAAAATATACCATTCATTTGTAATCATTCGCTCTCTCTAGTAAACTAAAACCCTCCCTCTCACCCAGTCTCTAGTAAATCCATTTTTTTTTTATTTCTAATACAAAAAATAAACCAAATTTTTTTTATTAAATTATAAAAATTAAAATTAGTAGATTGTGATTGTTTAAAATTAAAATTTATAAAATCTTCCCTAAGATCGATTATCACAATAAAGATTAGACTACTTTTAATCTAAAAAAATAATTTTTTAATAAAAAATTATTAATATTTAAAATAAAAAATCTTATTTGTTGTAGTCGCTTTAGGCCTCAAATGGTCTTGGGCCGCCCTTAACCCCGGNGCTCCCAAAGCGATCGCTATCCTTTTCTTGCTTTCTTGTTGTCTTGAATTGTTATAGAACGACTTTATATCAGGTATAGCTGGTAGGATGAAGCGTTAGTGGATATAGCAAGTGTGTCGGGGATACGGCTCGGGCGTAGTATAGCATGAAACAACCTTCTTTGATAGCGGCACTATACCTTAGTCTCTCTCTAGCTTCTAGTCTATATAAAACGTAGTTAGCAGAGGTTAATCTCTCTGGCGTTCCCTCATGTTTAGCAAATATCATCGGAATTCTTTGAATGTTAGATCATGAAGAGAAAGTCAACCACTCAAGTTCAAGTCAAACAATCGACCCTAATAAGAGGAAGGGAGCCTTGGGAGCTCTTATGCGACTGATAGAGGAGTTCTTATTATCAATCTAGCGTTATGGGAATCTATTACGGAGAGGCACCTATGGCAGGATCTATCATCTTGGCAGGAATTCCTTTAAAATTGGGAACCTACAGGTTTTTAAGATTTTCAATACCCATGTTTCCTGCTCTATGAAAATTTAAACTCAATAAAAAATATATTTGAGTAGTTTGGACTCATGAAACCAATCCATAATATTAAAAATATACTAAAATAATTTTTTTAGAAAAAAAAAAGAAAAAGAAAAAACTAAGGGTTAAAAAAAATAATTTTAACTAATCAACCAAAATATACCATTCATTTGTAATCATTCGCTCTCTCTAGTAAACTAAAACCCTCCCTCTCACCCAGTCTCTAGTAAATCCATTTTTTTTTTATTTCTAATACAAAAAATAAACCAAATTTTTTTTATTAAATTATAAAAATTAAAATTAGTAGATTGTGATTGTTTAAAATTAAAATTTATAAAATCTTCCCTAAGATCGATTATCACAATAAAGATTAGACTACTTTTAATCTAAAAAAATAATTTTTTAATAAAAAATTATTAATATTTAAAATAAAAAATCTTATTTGTTGTAGTCGCTTTAGGCCTCAAATGGTCTTGGGCCGCCCTTAACCCCGGCCCCAAAGAAATGAGAGATCCTAATGACAACTCTATATTATACTACTTAAAAATGAAAGTATCTGTGAAAAAATTTTTGACTTTCTATTTTATCCCTATGATAAAATCAATTATACTCACTATAATATATACTTTCATCTAATTTTTATTTTTTTACCTCTATTTGACTTTTAACTTATTTTGAACTCTTTTATAAGAAATTTTAAATTTTTTTGAACTTATTTATTTATAGTACAATTACATAAATTTTTCCACATTTATATAAAGAAGTGAAGTCCTATATATGTTAAAATTATTATACACATGTAGTTACTAAATTAAATTCCACGGTCAAATATAAATTATATTTTATTTTTTAGTATGAAATAATATAATAATACTATAAGCGATCTAATCAATCTATTTAACAAAAATAAAAAAGAGATTTTTAAATAAATGACAGATTAAGAACTCAAAAACCTATAGAATAAAATAATAATTAAATTTAGTAATAATTAAAATAGAAATTAATTATTTGACACTTAATTTATTATTTAATTTAATTACACATAAAAAAAATAGCATTTAAATTTATGTACGTGGAATGCATGTGGTACATTGCTCATATATCAAAAGTAGAGAAACACAGGTTTTGCACTATCGATACCACCTCGAATAAGCATTACCAGCAAAGTTCCCATTGCTCATATATCAAAAGTAGAGAAACACAGGTTTAGCACTATCGATACCACCTCGAAGAAGCATTACCAGCAAAGTTCCCACAAATTGAACTGACTTGTTGGTCATGTTAAGCCGGGCTGCCAAAACAACAATACGCCAGCAACCATGTTGCTTTTAGGATGCATAAAGAATAAAATGAAATAATATAACTCCAATCATTAATTGGTGACCAGACATTGTTACAAAGATAAGCTCATGGGATACATGTTGGTGATTAGCTGAAGAAATCGGATTATAAATGGTTGGAATAAGAAGCTACTCAATCTCCCTTTTCATTGTGGTATGAAATGAAAGTAGTGAAAACAGGATATCACTAACCAAAACTATGACCTTTCTTCCCTGTCAAACCGTCAGCTTGGACACATAATCTTGCAAGGAGGAATAGCTGTGATCAGGCACCACTTTTCGCCTTCCATCACGTCGAATTTGATCTCTCTACTGTCCTCATCTTCTTCCTCTTTTGCAGTTTCAACACTCAGGCCCTTTGGCAAGCAAATCCTGGCTGAAAGATGTAACGATGACATGAGATTCGAACATGAACACAAACCAGAATCATGAATATACAAGCTGCGTAAGCTGCAGAAGAAAGAAACTCGAATGCATGCTTCAATATAAACACGAGATTGAGAGGTCCAAGGAAAAGAGAACTTCGGATGAGGACACTTCAAATCCTTTCCCTTTTTGAACTGTCATTGTCTACATGTTTACACAATATGATATATGTATGTGCACATGAACGCATGAGCAAAGTCTTTTAACATGCATGTCAATTTAGCACTAAAGAAAAGCAACATGGAATATATCACTCCACCTGAAGAAGCAATGAGGGAGCCGCTGCTGGTTCATTAGCAACATGGCTTCTAGTTTTTCTTCCATTTAATGTGGCAACTGATGGGCTATTAACTGTTACGTCCCAAAAGCTCCGTTTTTTAGCTGTGGGTGGAGGAGATAAGAGCCGGTGGCTTGGGCTCTTCAACTCACCCTCAAGTGGCTCTTTTGGTTGCAAGCTCGTCCTGGTAACAACCCTCTTCAACCCTTCCCTTCCCACTCCAGCTGCTGTTGCTACCTTACGTGAAAGTTCACGTATAAAATCATCTTTCTTCTTTATCTGCAATGCATGATCCTTCTTCATTCTCCCAATCTCTGCCTCTAATGCCTTCACAGTCTGCCTGAGCTCTTTACCTGCCTCGTCCGCTGCCTTTTTCATTGATTCTGGCATGAAACAATTACCAGCTAAGAAGGGGGATCTCAGCTTCTGTTTGTCATTAGAATGCCTAGAAGATGGAGTAGATAAAAGGGATGAAATCGTAGAAGGGGTTGGTGGGACATTTGCGGTCAATGATTGAGCTTGGACAGTTAGAAGCTTCTTTTGCTGGTGAGCCAATTGTATTCTCAATTCACGATTCTCTTTCTGCAACTCAAGTAATACCTTGGCTTGGTCTGTTTCAGATGTTGGTATTTGCATTATTTCCTCGTTTGCATAACATGCCTGCAACTTTCCAAGATGAGAACAGTATAACATGATTTCCACAATTAAAATCACGTCGCTAAAATCATATAAACCACATCAGGAATTACTATGCTTGACGGGTGATGAAAAGTATGGCAAAACATTCACATAGAAAATGGAAAAGAAGGCCCTGCTAAGGTAAAAAGCAAAGCATGCTAGGAAAGAGTGCATATTCCATGAAGGATGAGAAGGGAGTTCCTAATGCTAAAATAGTAAAATCTCATCACTATCTACAAGAATTGCTTGTACATTTTTCATGGGAAAGTCAAACTTTGGCAGAACCTCTAGTTCAGATGATGAAATGACCATGTGAGTGGTAAATTGAAGAAGCAATATAAGCTACAGAAAAAAATGCATTTGCATTGACAAAGGAAACACTGAAGCTACTGCAGAATTAGTCACACCAGGTCCGATGGTGCACAAAAAATAGCCAAAACTTAGGAAATATATATCGGCTTAAGTAAGCTAACCAAGACCGTAAAGCAAAAGAATGAAGGAGAAATATTGAGCAGCTGAGAAGACGAAACCTTGTTTTGGATCTCCTTGGCTCGATCAGCCCAATGAAGGGTGTTTTGGGTTTCACCAAATGAGAGATTGCTTGGGCTGATATTAGCAATCATTATAGTGTTACAAGCTCCCCCAAGAGAGTCCTTGAGCAGTTGGGTGAGCTTTGAATTGCGGTATGGGATGTGTTTCTTGCCTTCAACGAGGGCATTAATGCAGTTGCTCAGTGCAAGGAGAGACCTATTAATGTTGGCTCCCTCAAGTGATCGAAGGTTTCTCTGGTCCGTAGCTAGAGCTCTCTCCGAACCAGCAAGGTCAATAAGTGACAGCTTTCCCACTCGATTGACGATGTTATTGGAAGCATCTTTAACTCGGTATTCAACCACAACCTAAATATGACTTTAAAAAATTATTATTTGGCGTAGCAAAGCGTTTTCAAAGCTAAAAATATCCTTGAAACTACCTGCAAAATAGCATGGGAGCGCGAAGAAGTCTCATTGGCACGAGTTGGTTCAGTCATTCGATTCTGGTTTCCTTTTTGAAGCAATGCTATTACCTGTAATTTTCAAACAACAGTAGTTATTAATTTCTCTAGTAAAGCGATAGAAAATGGAACCTTCTATGTTATTTTGGAGTCAAGTAGGAAAAGTACTTCTTCTGTACAATAGGCTCTGTATTGAGTAAGACCTGCTGCCACGATCCGCTGAAATGTTTGAAATAAGTTTCTCTCAGTTATAATGCGAAAAACATAAATACAATGGGAATTATGTAACCCTGAATGGGAGGGGGATGAAACTGTTTATCTTAAACAAGATGTGGCAAAGTTAATTGGTTGAGACATAACTTAAAATTGTGCATCTGTTATGTACAGAGTGCACTGAAAAATAAATGATGCATAGTTGTAGGATTCAGACAATGTTTTGTGGAAGGTTTGATGGAAATAATTTCCTTTGTGAACTGTGAACAGCAAGGCAACAACTGTGACAGTTGGCCAAAAAAAGAGAAACAACTCTGGCCAACATGATAAGAATCTAAGAATCATTATGCAATATTTGACAACTATCAATATAGAGACCACTTTGTTTCAATAAACAGTTAATTATTGGTTAGTATATGAAAATGACTGAAACAAATTCAGAATCTTAGGGAAAATCTCTTGTCAACATAAAAACACAAGTCTAACAGAAACTGCTATCAGTCTATCACACATAGTTTGGAAGCAGACCTGTTTATCTTCTCTAAGTACCAGAGGCCTCCCTGGGGAAAGCAAGTCTTTGACAGTTTCATTGTAAACCTCAAGATAGGATAGATGAATCAAATGGTTTCCATCAAAGCTTCTCTGCCTAACTTTGTTGAAAATATCTTTTATTGCCAAAACCATCACCCCTGGACTCTCCACTGTACCAAGCATTGTGTACGTCTTCCCAGCTCCTGTTGCACCATAGCAGAAGACTGATCCATTCCTTCCCTGCAGAACTGCTTCCACAAGCTTTACTGTTCTGGAAAATAGAATCATATTTGGTCAAGTTCCTCTTTGTTAGAAAAGAATGAGCAGTTAACTAGCATGCTTGAAACATATACTTTCAATTATAACAACGAATTCTCGAATTCATTGACAACTTGGTATCAGGTAACAACAGTATTATCTAGTGTAAGATAGCAAGATCAAATCCTGATAAGAAAAGGTCAAAAGACTCAGAACCTAAGCACTGAAATGAAAAGGTTGAGACAAATAAGATTAACAAAAGCCTTAAATCCCTCAAATTCTTTCTTACGAGAGCAAAAATTGGGCTGTTACAATCCAGATAATAGTAACGAGCTTGGTATATTAGCTATCTTGAAATCATGAACTACCATCAAGTTTTGCATAACAAGGTTTGGTAGTTTTTTAGGCAAAATGACAAAACAAAAACTAGATATGCACTGTACCAAGACTAGGTTGCATTAGTTCTTCAAGCCAGGCAACAACTGTGTAACAAGTTTATGCTACAAAGGCTGACCTTCAAGAGGAAATGGAATCCTCACACTAAACATAAACCTCAACAATTTCTGGTACAGAGTTTTTGATTCTATAACAAACTCAGTACACATAAGTTACGATTTTTCACGAAATCAAGTTCAGCTAATAAAATAAGAACTAACATTACAAACTCACGTTGTGGAATAGACTTCCTGTTGAGTTGCTGAATCAGGAAATGAACCATCGAAGCTAAAATGCCGCCCACGAAGCCTCTTTAGCCTCAGATAATCATGCTCATTCGCGAAATCCGTCAAATAAACATCCCTTCTGTTGACAGTCTGAACACAATACCTTGATCCAGCCTCTCTCTCCTTCTTCCCCATAGGCCTAAGCCTCACAAAAACAAGAATCCTACTACCAATATCAGGTTTCTCCGAAACAGTATCCAATTCTTGCCCATTCTCCTTAGTTCCTACAAATCCTCTTGGAGCTGTTTGTGGCACCACTGAGCTCCCCATTGAGAGCTTCCGAGGTGCAGTAATCGGCACATTAGTCCTTCTTAGACACGAAAAACCTACAATCCGTTCACCACCCAATCCTGCTACGTTCTCCTTGGCATCCGCCACCACTGGTGGTTGTGGCAATACATAAGTCCTTGTCGCTGTAGAATCAGGCATTGTGTTCTCTCTCATCACATGGCTCATGGGTTTTTGGTTCTTTCGATCTGTTTTCTTCTCTTGTACCAGAATCAAGAAGGTCTATGCTTGGATGAGTTGAAAATCTTGGCTCTTCGGGTATAGAAGAAGGGTGGTTCTCGAGAACAGAAGAGGCTTGTTTTTGCTGATCATATTAGATGGTCAGAGCTTTCATCTTCTCTTTCAAGCCATGGTGTGGGTTTCTTAGTGGGTGAGCCATATAGGTGCCTTCTTGATTTGATTCATTTTGGTCTCGGTTGTGGAAGATCTGAGACCTTGTTGACACTGGCATTCTATGAATCCCTCAATATCTGAGCATGCTCTTGTGGGTTTCTTAGAGACCCAGTTGATGGTAATGGTATTGATTGGATAGTAAAAAAGTTCAAAATTTTCCTGGAAAAACACAGAAATTATGATACAATTTCAACAGAATTGGTGGTGTCTGAGTAGAGGACGAAGCTGAACAGGGTCTTGAACAAAGAGGGAAGATCAAGATTGTGTATAATTCCAGGGGATTATGAGAGAGAGAGAGGGATCTGATCAATTGATTAGAGAAAGATTAACGGCTGGCAGCAGGGCGGGGGAAGGAGTTGTTTGAAGAAAATTGATAGGGGCACTCATCTGTTGCTTTTCTCACTCCATCCGGACCATCTCCATATTATTATTATTATTTTGACTAATTTCATTAATACCCAAAAATTTGATTTAATTTGATGACGTAATAATATATTAAGTAATAAATTCTCAATGAAAAAGTCAAAAGAATACTATAATTATAATTTATACTCTTAAAATATATACCTAATTCCTATTTGGTTTTTAAAGTTTCAATTGCAATAATTATATCTGTAGAGCTTTAATTGAGATTTTTTATTTATTTCATATATCAAAACTCACTAATTTATTGTGATAAAATGGTCTTCTGTGATTGACGCATAACTTAGATAAAAAGGTATATTTGTCTAGTAAAAAATATGTTAAAATAAGCTAAAAAATCTTACTTTAATTCATCTGTTTTTAAGGGAAAAAAATAATAAATTCAAAAATAAGATATATATAATTAGAATTTAAGAGATATTGTGAGACAAAAGGAGAAATATTGATGATTTTCAAAGAGAATTTTTTTTCTGGACAAATATACCCTTATGGGCAAGTCCTATAACATCTTTTTCTATCAGAATAAATTAATAAATTTGAATAAAATGACTGCATTGAGATTGGCTTAAACCTTTAAATATGTAATTATATCAATTGAAATTTTAGGGGCCAAATAGAAATTATATACATATTTTAAAGATATAAATTATAAATTACCAAAATGACTCCTTTTATTTGAGTTTTATTTTAATTTCCTCTCATTTAGGTTATATCAAAATTATAAAAAAATAATAATAATAAATAAAGTTCAATCATTTTTTTAAGTTAGTTTGTTAAGCAAGTTGAATCTTAATAACATACAGTACAACCCAAGTTGGCTTAAATTCCATTCAGCTCAAATAGATTCTTTTATATGAGTAATTCTAATTTTATTGTCAAATAATCAGTAGCTAAAAGATGAACAATTGCAAATAACTTCATAACTTGTTTGCTTATATTTTCTCCTTTATGATATAGAAATACAAGTCATAACTTGTGCTTGAAAGCACGATGAAATATAAGATTCTAATGTTCAAAAAATTGATTATACTATACAAAATTTAAAATTAATTTTTGTCTATTATTTTCTTAAAAATAGCGTCAAAATTTTCTCAAAATGTCTAACTTGATAAAAAAATTTTCAACATGTGTACATTATCATGTAGGAATAATATATAAAATAAAAGTTATGTTAAACTACAAATTAACTAAATATTAAATGATTGAATATGTGATAGAATTAGGTGATGTGATATTTTTTTGGAAGAAAAATATATAAAGAATAAATATTCAATTTGTTAGCTAATTTATTATATAGATAAAATAATAGAACTTCAAACGGAATAGAGAGAGACTTGCATTGCTTTTTTTTTCCCCCTCATAGTTGGATTTCTTATCAAACTATTTTAATGCATTTCTCAATTTCCATCAATACAAGAGCTTCGTTTTTTATCAAAAAATTATTATTATGAAGTTTCAAAATTACTTTTTTAAAATATTTACTACAAAATTGAGTTTAGTTTTAAATCGAGTTCAATTCAAAATGCTTATGTTAAGTCGACCTTGAATAAGAATGCATTTAAATTATGCTCCATTTTCCATCCCATCAACTACTATATCGACATGAGCAATGCTCTATCGACATTCAATTTTGGTATGATACCGAAATATGATAACAATAAAAATAAAAATATAAGTTTTATTTTAAAAAGGGATAAATTTCACCAAAAACAAAAATAGTAAGTAAACCCCAAATTAAAGGTGTATACAACCAAGAGTTGATAGGCTCCATTCAAAAGATGATATAGATATTTTAAAAATAATAATAAGTGATATGGTATCACAATTTTTAGAAAACTATTACACAACTTAATGGTTGAAATTCAAATGTATATCATTCCTTAAATGAGTTTGGGTGAATAGGTCCCACTGTAAAAATTAATGAGACCCACTAATCTAGAAAATAATATGCATTTAAGTTACAATTTTTTAAATTTTATTTGAATTTTATAATATTACTGGGTGGGGGTAAAAGTGCTCCTGGTCTAAAGCAACGACCATTTTGAATTTTTGTAACGGCTACCATGTAAGAATCCAAACGGTCGAGAGCCAATGGGGCCCACTTCTAAATTTTCTCAATTATAACGATCAACCCAGCGAAAGGTCTCGTAGTCATGTTTCCTAATTCAAAACTTTTTATAATATACTCTATGATTACACAATAGACCTAAGCTACATTAATCTCCATGGACACTATAAATAAATCCATAGACTGCAATTAATCAACGAAGGACCAAAATCTTGTAATAAATTCATGGACATCGCTTGTTCAGTACCAAAGACTGGAGTATAAGTGATCTTCTCCCTGTTCCTCTTTTAAGAGGAATTAGTATGTGGGTCTCTCTTTTAGTTAGTGTGCTTGAGTAGTTTTCGTGTGTGAATTATTGTGTGTTATATGTGCATACCTTTGTACACAAAAATGAAGGACCAAAATCTTCTTTAATACTTTTTTTTCTTTTGAGAAACCAGTTACCATGAATGATTATAATAACTCACTTATATACAACGAGTTAGTTCTATTTAAATTAATGATATCCGATCCATATTAAATTTAAAATATTTATTAGATCCACCGCTAAACAAATAGAAAACTCTTGTCTAGCATTTTAATATGACTTGAATTATGAATCATATTAGCAAATATTTTTATTATGCAATGGTGTCATAGGAATTGGGGTCACTAATTATTCATTCATAAAACATCATATATGTGGGGATGGTCACCGGGTGGTTGTGGTACAACGAATAAGTGATAACGTGATATTATTGTTATGTCGAATATATATACAGTATCATGTTCTCGTGTAAAACTCGATTTTTTTTAATATATGAATTGAATTATTGTGGTTAAAAGATTGAAATATAAATTGTCAGATATATATAATCTGAATCGTTGTTGTGCTTTGTATAAGCATGGCTATATATTTTATTATATAGATAGTAATATGTCGTGCCTGAAGTCACTTTACAATCCTAAAAATTGAACATTGATTGTACAAATAGTTATATTTTAAACAATTTTTTTTCTTTAATAATATAATTTAAAATTAAAGTAAATAGAGGAAAAATAAGATACAAAGAGCAATGTGGATTAGTTTGATTATATAACATTGAAGAATGCATTGCTTGAGTTATCTANCCAGCGAAAGGTCTCGTAGTCATGTTTCCTAATTCAAAACTTTTTATAATATACTCTATGATTACACAATAGACCTAAGCTACATTAATCTCCATGGACACTATAAATAAATCCATAGACTGCAATTAATCAACGAAGGACCAAAATCTTGTAATAAATTCATGGACATCGCTTGTTCAGTACCAAAGACTGGAGTATAAGTGATCTTCTCCCTGTTCCTCTTTTAAGAGGAATTAGTATGTGGGTCTCTCTTTTAGTTAGTGTGCTTGAGTAGTTTTCGTGTGTGAATTATTGTGTGTTATATGTGCATACCTTTGTACACAAAAATGAAGGACCAAAATCTTCTTTAATACTTTTTTTTCTTTTGAGAAACCAGTTACCATGAATGATTATAATAACTCACTTATATACAACGAGTTAGTTCTATTTAAATTAATGATATCCGATCCATATTAAATTTAAAATATTTATTAGATCCACCGCTAAACAAATAGAAAACTCTTGTCTAGCATTTTAATATGACTTGAATTATGAATCATATTAGCAAATATTTTTATTATGCAATGGTGTCATAGGAATTGGGGTCACTAATTATTCATTCATAAAACATCATATATGTGGGGATGGTCACCGGGTGGTTGTGGTACAACGAATAAGTGATAACGTGATATTATTGTTATGTCGAATATATATACAGTATCATGTTCTCGTGTAAAACTCGATTTTTTTTAATATATGAATTGAATTATTGTGGTTAAAAGATTGAAATATAAATTGTCAGATATATATAATCTGAATCGTTGTTGTGCTTTGTATAAGCATGGCTATATATTTTATTATATAGATAGTAATATGTCGTGCCTGAAGTCACTTTACAATCCTAAAAATTGAACATTGATTGTACAAATAGTTATATTTTAAACAATTTTTTTTCTTTAATAATATAATTTAAAATTAAAGTAAATAGAGGAAAAATAAGATACAAAGAGCAATGTGGATTAGTTTGATTATATAACATTGAAGAATGCATTGCTTGAGTTATCTAGCAATGGGGTTTCGAGAATAGGATATTTTTTTAGCGAGAATTTTTTTTTTTTTTTTATGAATTTTGTACCATTAGATCGCAATAGATGAAAATTGAATCAATCTTAACCGTCGTTATATTTTTATAAATTGATAATTCAACTTCCTAATTGTAATATAAAAATGATGTTTTGTTCAAATTAAAGTTTTCACCTGTTTAAAATAGAAAACATGGTATTCTGTGTGACTTAATAAAAAATATTCTACACAAGTTATAGCTTGAAAGTGTCCTAATTTATTGAACTCGATTGAAATTGACAAATTTAAAATTGGAAGGATCCAAACTACCTCCTCCACCATTTGATGCCCCTCAAGCCAAACAAATCAATTTAGTATATTTTTTTGTGAACATACATTATCTAACATCATATTGCGGCTGCAAGAGTCAAGAAAATCAACAAGCTCAAGTCTAAGTATCACCTCCAAAAGAGTCTATCTTTAAAGGAGTAGAGGAAAACTTAGCAATCAACCTGAAAAACCCAATAGATCAATTTAGCACCTTTTTCATGAGCCAATACATCCAATTCACCCCCCAAATGGCTCAATTATTTTTATATCTTCTAGCTTATCCATGGGTTGGGCATTTGATAGTCATGTATTTAGGTTATGATGGACACAAAATTTATATTATAGTGAGAGAGAGCCAAAATTTTTCATAAATACTATCTCAAGATTCCAAGTTCAAGTACAGCAAAAGACACTTGTTGATTCGAATTTTCTTTGTAAATGATCTTGTATATGCGAAATTTATGTTATAATCCCGAATGTAAATGATGCATGACTAATAAAAAGAAATAGTGAGTGGAAAATGATTGTCCATGTTGGTCTTCATTAGGGTCTTGCTCACTTTGTAGAATGCCTTCAAAGGGAGGTCATTAGTTCAACCAAATTATGAGCATTCATACATGACTTGCCTTCTAATTATTTAAATTGAAACTTTGGCAACCAAATAAAAGTTATGTGCGTACTTTGTGGTATGAATTATGAATTTCCCATGTATTAATGTAGGTAGTTGAGAGTAAGTAGAGATGTTTGAAAAAAACTTATTAAATTAAAAGCAATGTTATTGGGACCTAATTTACTGACTTAATTTGCGGACTTAATTCACTATGACCTTTGAATTGGCTGTAGACTCCATCAAACATTGGAATTTGGTGTTAATCCAATAATTCCAATGAAACCACGTCATTAGGTCAATAAATTATGTCAAATTTTTATATTCAAATAGTATTTTCCTTAAATTAAATAATTGTGAGATGATAAAAATATAAATGTAAGTGGTTTAAAGATGAATTAAATGAGATAGATGAAAGATATTAGAAGCTTTCCTTGAACTCTATATAAAGTGTTATTGTGTTACCATTTGGATTATTGTATCCAAGTTTGAAATGAATAATATTTTAAGAGCTCTTCTGTTATTTTCTCCATGAATTCAGAGAAGTGTTCATATTCTTTACATTAGAAAAAGGTGATTTCCTTGTATTCTTCATTTGCCACTGTATCAATTGGTATCAGAACCGTGACGGACCTAACATAATTGCTAATGAGCAAAGTGGTGATAACTTTCTGCATCACGGTGATCATACGAAAAGGGTTTTATGATAGCTGAATTCTTGGATCGCTAACAAACAGTTTCAAGGAATCCAACAAGATACCCAACAAACCTTGCAAGAACTATAGACTATGGTTGCTTGTTTGGCGTTGGGTCAAGACCAAGATACCAATTGAGAGGGTACATAATGACGATATAGCTCGTGTTCAACCAATTCAAAATCATCCTCATCTCTATCCCATGAGTCAAAATTTTCGTGTAGCACCTATTGCAGAGAAGGGCGGCCCAACTTAATTTGGGGTTCTAGGCGAAAATATTATACGAAGTTCTATAAATATTTATTCAGTAATAATAGTAATATTAAATACTCATTAAAATATGTTTATTTATTAATTATTTGTTTTTCTTTTTGAGATATAACACACCAATTCAAATTTTACAAATAAAAATTTTGTTAATAGAAGTCAAATATAAAGATCAAATACAATGATACACACTATTTGTTTAAGATAAAAAAGAAATATAATTGAAAATTAGTTTGACTAGTAAAATAAATTTTTTTCTAAATGTATATAAAAATATGAATTTATTCAAGTTGAGTAATCCTAAAATAAATCAGACATTTATAATATAAAACATAACAGATTTTAATAAGTCAATCCAACGATCTCAAATAGACTTATTCAACGACCACCAACATTTCTCTCAAAACCGTTCAAATTGAATTTCTCCCTTTAAATCCATCACTTCACTTACGTTGCACCGTGCTTCATGCATGAATTACCCCTAATTATTAGATATTATAGAGAACAAGAGCTACTTTTAAATACAAAATATAATTAGTACAATACTTCTATTCACTCTGTTTTATAGTCTTCTTGTGCATTGTAAACAAAGTTATTAAAAAATGACATCAAATTTAATTGATACAAATGTAAAATTATTATTCGTACCTATTATACAATAGACAATTGATTTTAATAATAAGTCTACAAAATGATAATATAAATATTCGTACCACTCCATGATTTAGAACAAGTGATATAGTGCAAATTGATGTACTCTTAGGGAACTCAATACAATTTAGTTACCCACCAATTTTTTTTTCAATTTTTGGTGATTTTGATGTTAAAGATGGTGATTTGCTTTATGGTCATTGTTATCAATCTATCATGCTGTTCAATTGAGACAAATATACTAAAAATAAATCTTTTTAAATAAAATTTTTAATTTGATATATAGAGACTAAATAAGTATTTGAATCTTATTGGATAAATAAGTATTTGAACTTGTATTAAAATTGAGGCGAATTGTATTTTACACCTTAAAAAATTTTAAGATTCTTATTTTATACCTTCAAAGATTATTTTTTTTATTTCACTTTCAATATATTAAAGTGTTGCAATTTGACTCTTTTATTAGTTTTTTGTTAGTGTCAATGGGTTAACTTTTGACATAAAAAATAGCATAAGGACTATATTGTAATACTTTTGATATATTGATGGTATAATATAAAAAATTTAATCTTTAAGGGCATAAAATAAAAATCTTGAAAATTTTCGTGGTACGAAGTGCGAAAAACCTTAAAATTGAACTGATCGGATCAACCAAATCGGGTCAACTGGATCTTCGTCGGGTTACACCGACTTGGAAGTTGGGCTTGACGATAGTGAACCCACAGCAAACATAAACCCTAGAAAACCAAACAACCTGTCCATTGGACCTCTAATCTCTGCGCGCCCTCTCTCTCTCCCTCCCTGCTTCCCTACTGTAGAGGCAGCAATGGCCGCTATCGGGAAAACCCCTAACTTCAAAGTCGAAGAAGAAGACGGGGCGAAGAAGAAACGTAAGAGAAGTAGAGACAAGAGCAAGAAGAAGAGGGCAGTCACCGAGCAACAACCAGAGTCAGAAGCTGAAGAGATGAGAGAAGACGACAATGAACATGAAGAGAGCGGCGGCGGTGAAGACAGAGAAGAGGTGGTAAAGGATGATGATGAGTTGAAAAAGGAGGTGAAGAAGACCAAGAGTGGTGGGTCTGGGATTATGAGTACCGAGTCGTTTTCGTCGTTGCCGATATCAGAACCCACTATGAATGCTATCAAAGACATGAGCTTCCAGTACATGACCCAGGTATGTAATTCCGAAGAAAAATTAGAATAAAAATATGATGTTGCCTCAGTTCATTCTATAATTTCAGTTTCTTTTTTCAATTTATTATGGTTTGAGGTAAATTGATTCGCTCGATTGAGCTGTATTTGCTTTACATTGCCCTGCAAGTGATGCAAAAAGATTGAATTTTTCTTTAATATAATTTGATAGCCATACTGAAATTCTCAGATTGATGCCTTTGTTTCGACGTTCGAATTCTGTGTATGTCTGTTTGTTGTTCTTATTTTATGTTGGGGTGCTAAGAGAAAGAGAAATATGGAAGCGTCAATAAACTGAATCATCGAGTTCCTGCAAGTGGAGTTTTGAAAATTTTGAGATTCTGTATAATTGATCATCTCTCCAAAGTTATGAGCTTCCAGCTGGGTTATGGGACGATCAACTTTGATGTGAGGATTTGAATCCTTGTTTTGAAAACTGGATTTGCATCACTTGCGGGTTATGGGAAGATCAACTTCGACCGAAAAGTAAATTTGTTTGTATTTCGTGTTGTGGATTTGGTAAATTTCTTCTTGGATAATGCAATGCTCTGGTTGTTAGTTTGCTTGAAATATGGCGCCTTATTTTATAATAGTAAGTAGCCAGCAGCTGCTATGTATCAGAACACAAAAACTAGTTGACCTCCAGCTTTATTGCTGAGGTGGGATGTCCTGCTCCTTCCTTTGTGTAAGGTTTTGGGTTCACCTCTTAGTACAGGAACCTTCAGTGTGGATGTATTGCAGGAGAGTCAGTCCCATTTCATCGGCCGTGTTGTTGGACCATGAAAAGTTGTTTTGCCCTTTTTGCAATTTCTTTAATAAGTAAAAGTTCATATGCTGATTGAGTCACTTTTATAAAATAGTGCATTTTAACTGATAGGTTTTACATTCTCCGAGCCAAAAAGTTGTAACCATGCACTTAAAAATTCTGTTTCTCTTTTATACAAACTTAAAGGTGGTTCTATAAGTGAAATCTCAGAAGAAAATCCTTCCCTGTAGTTGAAACATTTTGTTGATCAGAGAAGAAATTTGAGACATGAAATTAGAACAGCCATTTGGGGGTGAGATTCCTAGTTTTGATTTCTCAAAATTTCGCAGTTCTATCACACAAAGTGCAATTATTAATTAGTTGCTTTCAGATATTATTGGTAAGGTGGTATGTGATTGATTAGAACCGAAATGCTACCAGTCACCCAGCATCAATGAGATGGAATTCAACAAAAACTTAGGCACGGATATTTGTAGTACTCGATGATGCTTTTTATGCCTTGTATAAGTCCAACAACTAGATTTTTTGTATTTATTCTTTTCTTTTTCAATGTTTTCTTTTATATTGAATTGCATATATTTCACTTCTCATACAGTAAGCACACTCTCTTTTTGGTTTATGTATTGTCTTTTTTAAATTGTCATGTTGATGTTCCTTTTTACCAAGCATCATGTTGATTTACTTCATGTGAATACTCTGTGTAGAACTTATATGTCTGAACTAATTTCTTATTACAAGTGCAGATCCAAGCCAGGGCAATTCCACCCCTTTTGGAAGGCAAAGATGTTCTTGGAGCTGCCAGGACAGGTTCTGGGAAGACCCTTGCTTTCCTTGTACCAGCTGTGGAGTTGTTGCATCATATCCGTTTTACTCCTCGCAATGGGACTGGTGTTGTTATCATTTGCCCAACAAGGGAGCTGGCCATACAAGTATGTGTCCTCACTTTTAGAAAATTTTTCGTTCTGATAACCTGCTGTTACAGATCCCCAGTCATTAAGTGGTTCAGACCGGTGATTATTGTCTCTTAGCTTGTGAGAACCACCATCACAATACATTCCATTCTTGGATATTTGAATTGCTTCAACTTAGAGTTCTTTAAATGAGAGATTTTCTTTTGAGAAACTTATAATTTTTCTTGAAGCGAGCACTGCTGCAGATCAAGAATACTTTTTGTGGGAGGACCCTGTATAAATTTCTGTGTGATGCCATTATGGTTACCCTTGTGCTGCAACATCTTTGGGATCATTGATGATGCCAATATCAACAACGGCACATGACTATTGCAACAGTTGCTACTGCCAGTGGGCACCATAGCCACTACTGCTGCCATCACAATTTATTTTTTTCTTCGGATGATTTCAGCGAAGATTTATTATGGATTCTATAATGCAATTCACAAATGCTACTTCATTATTCATTTTTTGGCAATAAAACTGTTAAAAGTATTAGGGTAGTCTGTGTAAATTGTTAATAGTGGTAGGGTAGTATGTGTAATTGTTATTATTATTGTAAGTTAACTATAAATACAATGATATATGAGAACTATGTCAAGCTTTTGACCTCTCAGTTCCTCTTCAATATATTGTGTTAATTCTTTTACACTTAACATGGTATCAGAGCAATATGATTCTAAATACAAATATTAGCCTGTGTTTGTTTTGTGGAAATTACCTTGGCTTGGTGACGTTACTGTTGAGTTGTTGTTGTTGGAGTTCCGGCGTTGTGGTGGTGTTACACAGTGGTTGTAATACACTGTAGTGGTGGTGGTACGTCTGTGGTGGAGATTTCAGTTAGGAGGCATTGTCGATTTAGGTGTCTGAGTCGATCGTGGTGGTGTGGCTACTGAGTCGATTGTCGACGTTGGTGGCTTCTGCGTGGTTGTTGTGGTGTTGTGGTGGTGTGACGACGATCAAGGGTTTCTTTTGAAACCCTAGTCAAGCGAAGAAGACAAGGTCCATTGGGTCGGTTGCGGGTCAATCAAACCGAACCGGGATTCAAACAGTCGAAGTCGAGCTCAATTTCAAACCCCGACAGATCGGGTCCAATCAGATCAGGCCCAGTCCACTGTGCAACTTGGACCGGGTCAATCCCGGTTCAGTTAGCCTTAGACCGATTCAAACCGGTTCAGTCAATGGTGACTCCGGTTCAGCGGTCCAGTAACCTCCTGTGGCCCGGTTCATTTAGGTTTTGCATTGGTTTAGACCGGGTCAGTCACCTTTCACTCCGGTTCATCGGTCTAGTGCACCTAGTCTGCCCGGTTCAGCCTTCAAGCAGGCTTTTGGGGCCCGGTTCAGCTTTCCAGCAGGCTTTTGGGGTCCAGTTCAGCCTTCCAATAGGCTTTTGGGGTCCGGTTCAACTTTCTAGGTGGTCCGGTTCAGCCCTCCGGCAGGCTTAGTAGGTTTAGTTCTGTCCGGTTTTGTGTTCTAGCATTATAGCACCCCCTGTTTGCTATTTACTGCATTACTATGGAACCTAAGTAGAATACCGGGTCCCTTACTTCAGCTTTACCACCCACCTCTATCCCTCCGACTATTATCAATGGTCCCATGACCTCCGTTAAACTTAATGGGACCAATTATACTTTATGGTCCCGGTTTGCTCAAGTCTTTCTTCGTGGCAAGGGATTCAAGAAATATTTGGTGAATCCTAAACCCGAGGAAACTACTCTTGGATATGATCAGTGGGAACAAGAGGATGCTCAGATCATTTCCTTACTGTGGAATAACATTGAGCCTAGTATTAGTTCTACTTTGCTCTACCTTGACACTGCTAAGGAGATATGAGATCATTTGGCCACCATGTATTCTGGTACTTACCCGTGCATATGAGGTGTGTAAGGAGGACTTCCGGTTGGAGCAAGGTACTCTGAATCTTGTAGATTATTACTCTCATGTTCGGGGAGTCTGTGAGGAGATTAAGACCTACCATTCGTTTACTACTGATGCAGCAGTTTGGCAGAAGCAACATAAGGATTTGAATGTTGCTAGGTTTTTAGTAGAATTGAAACCTGAATATGAGGCTATTCGTTCTCAGATTTTGAGTGGTTCTAGTCTTCCATCACTGCTTGAGGTTTTCTCTCGTTTACAGCGTGCTACACTGTCTATTCCTTTTTGGTATTGATCATGGTGTCTCCACTGATCGCTCAACTCTTGTGGTTCCTAGTAGCCATAGTGATGGTCATCGAGGTGGACGTGGTAGTGGTCGTGGTGGTCGTATGGGTGGTCGTGGGGGTCGTAGTGGATCCCGTTCCTGTACTCACTGTGGTCGTGGAGGACACACTGTTGACTTTTGTTGGGATTTACATGGTAAATCTTCTGGTGCTACTAATCAGGCTTCTTATCAGGATGATACCTCTGTTGTTGCTTCCATACCTCGGTCAGTTCCACCAGACATTGGATCAGTTACTATTACACTGGGTTGAGAGGAGTATGTCCAGTTCCTGTCCCAGCAACAGGCTGTTCCATCTCCCTCCACTGCTACTTTTGCCCAGTTAGGTACTACTTTCATTTGTTTATTGTCTTCCACCCGCAGTCTCTGGATTATAGACTCTGGCGTTTCTGACCACATGACTGGTGCGTCTGATATTTTTTTTGCTTATTAGTCTGCTACTCCTGCATGTAGTATTACTCTTATTAATAGTACTTGTTCTAAAGTTTCAGGTCTGAGGACTACTCTCTTGAGTCCTGATATGTCCCTATCATCTGTGTTATTTATTCCTCAGTTCCCTTTTAATTTACTTTCCATTAGTAAGATTACCCATTCTTTCAACTGTTCTGTAACATTTTATCCCTCTTATTGTGTTTTTCAAGATCTCAAGACAAAGAAGAAGATTGGTACGGAGCATGAAGCCGGTGGCCTATATTACTTTGATTTTGATTCAGCTCTACAGACCTCGTTGTTTTTTTTTCAATGACATTGTCGTCTTGGACATCCCTCTCTCTAGAATCTGAAGCGCTAAGTTCTCAGTCTTAGTTGTGTGTTGTCTTTGTCTTGTAAAGCTTGTCAACTTAGTAAGCATCACCGTGTGTCATTTCAGTCTAGAGTCAATAATCGTGTGTCTAGTCCATTTGAGTTGGTACATTCTGATGTATGGGGTCCAATAAAGAATATTTCATCTAGATTACTATTCTCGTGTGACTTGGTTGTTTTTTATGAAAGCTCGGTCTGAATTATTCTTTATATTTGAGACCATTTGTAAGGAAATAAAAACTCAGTATGGTTGTCGAATACGTATTTTACGTTCTGATAATGCTCGGGAATATGAATCTGATCCTTTTTTCACTTATCTTAGTAAAATTGACATTATTCATCAGATTTTCCGTGTTTACACATCTCCACAGAACGGTGTTGTTGAACACAAGAACTGTCATTTGTTGGAAGTCACTCGTGCCTTGTTATTCCAAATGAATATTCTCCGTTATTTTTGGAGTGATGCTGTTCTTACTGCTTGTCACCTAATTAATAGTATGCCATCCTCTGTGTTAAATGGGCAAAGTCCATATTCTGTCCTTTTTCCTAATAAACCCTTATTTTTCCTAACTCTTAAGGTTTTTGGATGTGTTTGTTATGTTCACAATTTGGGTCCTGGGTTTGATAAACTTGATCCTCGAGCTACCAAATGTGTATTTTTTGGTTATTCCTGCACACAGAAGGGGTATCGTTGCTACTGTCCTTCTCTGCGACGATACTTTATTAGTGCCGATGTCACATTTGAGGAATCTGTTTCATATTTTCTAGCACTTTCTCAGTCTTTGGATCTGGACTTTGGGTCACCTCTTGTACCACCATCTTTTCCCTCATCTTTAGATATTCTGCTACTCGCTGCGTTATTATCTACTTTACCTCTTCATGTATACTCTCGTCGTTCTCGACCATCAACTGAGGTGTTTGTACCGTCTTCCTTGCCACCTTCTGATCCTGGCCCATTAAATAATTTTGACTCATTACCTATTGCTCTTCGAAAGGGTACTCGTTCGCGTGTTTCTAATCATCCCATTGCTCATTTTGTTTCATATGATGCCTTATCTCCTGTCTTCTCTTGTTTTACCTTTCAATTATCTACTATATCTATTCCTAAGCATTTACAGGCTGGTTTATCTGATCCGAGTTGGAGGAAAGCTATGGAGGATGAGATGGATGCTTTACATCATAATGGGACTTGAAATTTCGTTCTTTTACTCCTTGGTAAACGAACTGTTGGTTGCCGTTGGGTGTACACTGTTAAATTTCACTCGGATGGTTCTGTAGAGCGTCTCAAAGTCCGACTTGTTGCAAAGGGCTTTACTCAGACCTATGGTGTTGATTATGCGAAGATTTTCTCCCCTGTTGCAAAAATTTTCTTTGTTCATATCTTGATTTCTTTGGCTGCTAATCTTGATTGACCCTTGTTTCAGTTAGATATCAAGAATGCCTTTCTACATGGTGACTTGGTTGAGGAGGCATACATGGAGCAGCCACCTGGGTTTATTGCTTAGGATGAGTATGGTAAGAGTGTATATCGGTTAAAAAAATTTTTGTATGGTTTGAAGCTGTCACCGAGGGCATGGTTTGGTAAGTTTTTAGATACAGTTTTAGAGTTTGGTTTGCTTCGATGCCAGACAGACCATTCTGTGTTTCATAGATAGACGGATGCTGGATATGTCCTATTGGTGGTCTATGTAGATGATATTGTTATTATTAGAAATAATTCTGAGGGGATTGTCAAGTTAAAAATTTTCTTGCAAGATCGATTTCATACTAAGGATTTGAGAAAATTCGGATATTTCTTGAAAATTGAAGTGGCTCGATCTAAACAGGGTATTTGTTTATCACAGAGGAAATATGTAATTGACATGCTAGAGGAAGCAGGTTTGCTGGGTGGCCGACCAATTGATGTTCCTATAGATTTGAATCAGAAATTATTGATGGATGATGGTGCATTATTTGAAAATCCGGGTCGGTATCACATATTGGTTGGGAAACTCAATTACTTAACTATTACTTGACTGGATATTTCTTATGCAGTCAGTATAGTAAGTCAGTTTATGAGGTGTCCTAGAGTACCACATTGAGAGGCTATTACTCGTATTCTGCGATATCTCAAATGAGCTCCGGGACTTGGACTGATATATCGAGCTAATGGACATCTTAGAGGAACGTTTCTCAGATGCTGATTGGGCTGACTCTCCTTCTGATCGGAGATCAACCACTAGTTATTGTACCTTTTTAGGAGGTAACATTGTCTCATGGAAAAGTAAGAAACAATCTGTGGTAGCAAGATCCAGTGCTAAGGTTGAGTATAGGGCAACGGTGCATACGACGACTGAGTTGACTTGACTGTTACACTTCCTCCAAGAAATTGAGTTTCCAGTTCAACTTCCTTTACAGTTGTTTTGTGACAACCAGACAACTATCCATATCGCTGTCAATCCAATGTTTGATGAGAGAACTAAACATATTGAGGTTGATTGTCACTTTATTCAGGACAAAATAGTAGCTGGAGAGATTACAACTCCATTTGTGAAATCTGAAGATCAGCTTGCAAATATGTTTACCAAAGCATTGAGCCGTACACGTCTTACGGCGATTTATTCCAAGCTTGGATTATATGATATATATAGTCCAACTTGAGGGGGAGTGTTAAAAGTATTAGGGTAGTCTGTGTAAATTGTTAATAGTGGTAGGGTAGTATGTGTAATTCTTATTATTATTGTAAGTTAACTATAAATACAATGATATATGAGAACTAGGTCAAGCTTTTGACCTCTCAGTTCCTCTTCAATAAATTGTGTTAATCCTTTTACACTTAACAAAAACAAATTCTGACAAAATGGGCAGTCATAACTCATTTCGGAATTCCCATGATATTCCAAACCAACAAAACCCTCAATACTCTGAAGTATTGCTTGCAGGCAATATCATAAAAGGGTACTGCATCCAATGTACAAAACACAATGATATTTGTGAGTATGCATTTGCTAAGAATTGGAGAAATAACTTGGTAAAGTCTACACCAGACCCCCTGTTGTTTTTCATGTCTTATTATTTTTATGATAACTTCTTTCGTTTTGGAGATGACCTAATACAGATTGTGAAACATGTCAAATTTGGCCTCCTTGGATTAACCCTTAAATGACTATTCGTTCTGACATAATAATTCTTAAAGAAGCAGATGAGAGTCGGGAATCATTATGTACTAGTTCTGATTTGTAACCTTCTATTTACTGTTAAATGAAAAGTAAGGGATGTGGTATGTGGTTTTGTGTTGCGCATATTTAGTTGTTGCATGTGTCATTCCCTTGCTGGCTTCGCTTGTTATTATTAGAAGTCTGAATTATTCTTTTATTACTGAACGTTTAGTGTCATTGTGAATGCAGTTCCATTCTGTATGTGTAAAATCTTTGAACTACCTTGACTAATCTTCCATTCAAATGATCCAGACGCATGCTGTTGCCAAGGACCTGCTTAAGTATCACTCACAGACCCTTGGCTTGGTCATTGGAGGTTCTGCACGAAGGGGAGAGGCAGAACGCATTGCAAAAGGAGTAAATCTATTAGTAGCCACCCCTGGCCGACTTCTTGACCATCTTCAAAACACCAAAGGCTTCATATATAAAAATCTAAAGGTACTAAAAATATCATTAACTGCATTTATATGGTAGTTTACCATGTATGTTTCACAATTGATTGTTATTTCTGGTATTTCCAACTGCACCTTCTTGCCAGAAATACTTTAAATAGAGTTAACTGCTAGTCCCATTACCTAGTCAACTCTTGATTATTGAAGTTGGAGCTCTTAATTCTTTAGTAGTGCAGTCTGACGATCCTGAAGCTAAGATCGTCAGTTGAGACACCCACAAATGCACCAGCTTATATCCTTAACCAAACAATTAAAAAGGCTAAAAAATCAACCCAACACCCCTGCCCCCAGCTGAGGGGCAAAAAAGAAAGAAAACCCACCCTCCAAAAGCTAAAATAAAGTTAATGGGCATGGGAAAATAGCATATCTGGATGAAAGAGTTGGAAGGCACAATTAGTACTTTTTGTGGAAGCAATAGAGGATAGAATTGTTGTGCTGACTAGACTAGATCAGCTTTAAAGCAAGTTTATTGGACTAAATATGTGCCACAGGATGCTGGATGGGAGATGGATTAATAACATTATAATTCACTAGTTTCTAGTCTGAAAATTTCTTAAATTACATTATAGAAGGAGCCTCTATGTTCTTCAAATGTCAGATTTTTATTTCTGTTGATTTTTTCCTTTCGTGGTTCAGCGTGGAGAATAGGCTGGTATTGGCCAAGCCTTGAAGCATGTAAGTAAATTTGCTAGGTTATGCCTGACACAAGTTTGATTGTGGTTGGATGGCACCCCAAATGCAATCCAATTTTCTAGTTTAGTTTCTGAGGTAATGTGAACTGAATATAGATTGTAATACAACATAAAAGGAAGGAAACGAAGAAATTAATTAGGTTGTCACCATCATTCTTCTCGAAGTGGTGAAGATGTGACTTGATTATGAAGGCTAAGGCTGATTTTAGTTATCAAGTAAACATGTTGGAGGGAGTCTAGATGGTTGTGTTTTTCTTGATCAGTTATCATGCAGCTTCTGAAAAGAGAGATTAGAAATTGTGAGAGGATTGAAAAAATTTTCTGAAAGCTTTTGTTTGGGTGCATGCTTTCATAGTTGAAAAAATTGTGCAGTCTTCTCCTTATGTGCATCACTTGTGTGTTGAACGCCTCCTTTGCATTTTAAGAGTTATGGAATTATTTATTGCATCTGATAATTCTTCTTTAGATCGTTCTGCCTTTGTAGCCACTTTTGAAAGCTTGTACATGAACCAGTGCCCCAAATTGAAGCGATTTCATTCAGATATCTGAAATTAAATATCTTTTTCAAGACGACTTTGTGGTACCTTTTCTAATGTTTTGTGTACCTCTTTGACTTGCAGTGCCTAATGATTGATGAAGCTGACAGGATATTGGAAGCAAACTTTGAAGAAGAAATGAAGCAAATTATTAAAATCCTACCAAAGGTAAAAATATGTTAAGGTCATGTAAACTATCGAATTAAGTGCAAGCTAACATAAAGCAGGATATAAATGAGATTAAATTGTCCTGCCATGTTAGTTTTCCTAATTTATCATGGACTGATTAACAGATCTTGCTCAGAAATTTACTCTCTATTTTCCGGCAGGCTGAGAAAACTCATTTGTCTTAGCCACAAAATTGCGGGGCCAGTGAATAAAATTGATCTAGTTGTCCAACTTTTGGTGGCTGTTGCCTTGGGCTTTGTTAAGGTGTGACTTGGATTTCGTAGTATTTAGTACTACTGTTTACCAAATTTTAACCAACAGGGTTGGCCAAAGGACTGAATTATGTGCCTGGGATAACAAATTGCAGTGTCTTTTAATTGGCTCCAACACTCATTGTATATCTCTTGGCTGCGTTTCATTCCCTTGAACTTCAGGAGTAGTATAAAATGCATTAATTTGGTGGTGCAGTATGTTGAGTTGCATCTAGATTTCTCTGTGGGGTAGTTAGAATGACGTACTAGTGTGTTGTTACTTGTTACTTGAATTGTTTTGAACTAATTGAGATGTTAACTGATGTGCAGACGAGGCAAACAGCTCTTTTTTCTGCTACCCAGACTAAGAAGGTGCGTGTCGTTAGGCCTTTAGTTGTCCTTCCTCTGACAAGATATAGTCATCAACTTTTTTCTATGAGCACAATATATTTTAATTCTTCTCGTTCTTTTTGTTTGCTCTTCAAAAACTCTGACATTAACCAAAATTCTGAGTTTTTAAAATTTGGTACCTGAACTGTGTCTGAATTGTAATTATTTGATGCGAAAATCATAATTTTTTCATGTTTTTTTCTTCCAGGTTGAGGATCTTGCCCGCTTATCATTTCAGACCACTCCTGTCTACATTGATGTGGATGATGGTAGGACGAAGGTAAACCGATGTTTATAATCTTTTACATGAGAGTCATGATGTTTCTGCAATTACCATTTGACAGATTATCATGGCATTGCAGGTCACTAATGAAGGGCTGCAGCAAGGCTATTGTGTTGTTCCAAGTGCCAAGAGATTTATTCTTCTCTATTCCTTCTTAAAAAGGAATACGTCAAAGAAAGTTATGGTTTTCTTCTCTTCGTGTAATTCAGTTAAATTTCACTCTGAGCTTCTCAGATACATTCATGTGGATTGTTTCGATATACATGGAAAGCAAAAGCAGCAGAAACGAACCTCGACATTTTTTGACTTCTGCAAAGCAGAAAAGGGAATCTTATTATGTACTGATGTTGCTGCTCGCGGCCTTGATATTCCTGCTGTGGTATGCATCTTTGTTCTGTTTTTTGGCTTTGCATTGAGTAGTGACAACCATAACATGACCCATCAAACCTCCCCTTCCATCCGGACAAAAAAAGTAGGAAAGAAAGAAAGAAGAACCCGAATAGCAGAAGGGAAAATAGTATCGAGAAAATTGGAGAAGTGGAGAAAAAATTGTGTACAGTAGCACTTACTTTCTCATAGGGACCATTGCCTAATGTAGTGGAAAATGTTCGGACTAACAATCGGAAGGTTATGGGCTAGAATGGTATATTTGTACTTAGGCTAACCCAGTTCAACCCGTTCAGCAACCCTGGTCAATAGATATAAAACTGAATAATAAACTTTTGAACACTTAGCGGTACCTTCACGTTATGAACATATTTATTGTTCTCATAATATTTAACACTACGGCCTGGTTTCACTGTTATTTCTTTTTGTTTCAATCTATCTTAAAGCATTTAGGTCTGTACCTTGAGGGTGTGCAAATAAGGGGTACTAAACTGGGTGCAATTTTCCGATTAGGATTAAAATTCAGACCAATAACCTTGTGTTGTGTTGTGGGTTCGAACTTGAGGTTTGCACAAATAACAGCAGAGATTAGGTGTGTAACCAATCCATCCCTCCCAGACATTAATGGGAATTAATCTGGGTGTTTTCTTTTATCTTGTGCTAAACAGTATGAGAATGGTGCAGTTTCTTTCTGATGTGGTACATTTTCAATCACAGTATTGTTATTTTTCATGATTGATTCTCTATGCTATCCTCAAATTTTTCAATAAGATGCCATTTTAAGAGATGATATTGAAGCTGGTGATGTTTTTCTCTCTACTTGCAGGATTGGATTGTGCAATATGATCCCCCAGATGAACCAAAGGTGCTCAGCTTTCTCTATTCGTGTGCTGTGTTTTGTTTTATATTTTAATTTCCCCATTTTTCATGGTACTTTGTTAAATCTTTGTATAACTGCTTTCAGGAATATATTCATAGAGTTGGACGAACAGCTCGTGGGGAAGGTGCAAAAGGCAATGCCCTGCTTTTCCTGATTCCAGAAGAGTTGCAATTTCTGCGATATCTTAAGGTCTGGGTTTATTTTGCTGTCTTAGAAAGTAGCTCAACAAATAAAGATTCTACAGCAAATCAAGAAATCACTACATAAATTTTACTTACATAAATTTATGTGTATATATACACACTCCCACACATTAAATTTTATTTACATAAATTTATGTGTAAATAAAGATTTTATTTACATAAATAAATTTTATGCGTATATATATACATACACACTCCCACACATTAAGAAAGTCAAAGGTTTGTGCTTTGAGTACCCAGTGACCAGTACTTATAACAGAATTCTCCTCTGAAAGACTATACTTCTCTGAAGTGAGTTCTATCAAGAAGTAATGCCTTGTGAGTGGATGGTCCTCTTAAGACTTCAAAAGCCAATGCTACTATAATTTCTGTTTAAAAGGAGATAGAAGAGAATAGGCATCTGGCGATTAGCTTGTTCCAATAATTTGACAGAATGTCTTATATTGTAAATGGCAGGCTGCAAAAGTGCCTGTTAAAGAGTACGAATTTGATCAAAAAAAGCTGGCAAATGTGCAATCTCACCTGGTACATTTCTGCTTTAGTAAGTCTTCAAGTCTGGTTTTCTCATGTATGACCTGCTGGTGACTTAAACTGGGATGTGGGATTGATGCAGGAAAAGTTGGTGACGAACAACTATTATTTGAACAAGTCTGCCAAGGATGCATATAGATCCTATATATTAGCATATAATTCCCACTCTATGAAGGACATTTTTAATGTTCACCGCCTTGATCTACAGGTATTAAATTTTCTCTGGACTTCCTAAAGCTTAAAGGGTTATGTTTGTCGAAATGATATATGTACTTTTGTTGGACCCAATTTTTGTGTCTGGTCGAAGTCTAAGACATCATCAGTAACGTATTAAGTGGATAACTAAAACATGTGAGGATGACAGGGTTTTGGTACTAAGAAATACCATGTAATTCCGAACTATTTGTTGCATGTGACAATTTCATGAGCTATGGAAGCATTTGAAATGAAACTCGGAAGTACTGTATAGGGGTTAATTTTAAGTTGTATAATAAATTCTTGAATATAAGTTTTAATATGCTGTGACATAAAATTACTTGCTTAACTTTGGCAGGCCATTGCTGCTTCATTCTGTTTTTCTTCTCCTCCAAAGATCAATCTAAACATAGACAGCAGCGCGTCCAAGTTCAGGAAGAAGACCCGTAAAGTTGAAGGAAGCCGCAATGGATTCAGTGAGAGCAACCCTTATGGTAGGAAAGGCGAAGACGATACGCGGCAGTTTGTAAGATATTAGCAGTGTTCCCTACAGCAAGCAATTCGGATTCTGCTCCAATTTTGAATCGAGGTTTTTGTAACTTTAAGCAATTTTCAATTTGTATTTTATTTATGGAACCGTAGTATCATGGTTGTCCGAAACACTAGGAGTAAAAAAGGAAAGATTAGGTTTGTTACCCAGATGGTGCATTGCTGTTCTGCTTCCAACTAGGAAAGCCACGCAGTAACAAAGCAGCCAAGGCTTTATATATATTGCCATGTAAAATGCCTAAAAGTAAATGAGGATTTATTGGGGAACGAAATCATGGTTGAAATTACTGAGACAGTTCTTGGATAAAAGCATCAAAGCCTTCCTGGGCACTATGGACCCTTACTTCCCTTGGTTGGGTTGACTTTATGTTGGGTTTTAGTTTTCGCATCAAAATTTGTTTAATTTATATCAAATTTTTTTATATTTGTTCTAATTCGACTTGTTTTTCGTATAAACTGTGCATAAGTCGTTGTGTTCACCATGTTCATGTCATGTTTAGTCGGATTTGTTTATAACCTGTTAATTTGAACGAGCATAAAGGGTCTACTTGTTTACCATTTGAATTTGTCAAGATTCAAATTAAATTCATTTCTTTTGAGTCAATTTTATATCGAGCTTGTAGGTATTGTCTAAAAAATAGCTGGCATAATTGGTGGCACTTAAGGTCGTGACTCTGGTTACATGGGTGGATTTCATGTCAGGTCATCCTATATCACGTTTGATGGCTTCTTTTTTGTGCATGTGGATTGCCCTAAAATGTAGGGCATGTTTCGTTCGCTTTTTGAAAATTGTTTTTTGTTATCAAAATTTTAAAAACACTTCAAATTTGTTTTTAAAATTTTTGTTCTCGAATTTTTTTTCCAAAATGAGATTTGAAGCACAAAAACTTATTTTCTCAGAAGTTTTTTGGAAATTTTAATGAGGTTTGCTATTCGAGTCTCCTTAGCAACAAAAGACTTCCTTTTTTTTTTTCCTTCTTCTCTGTCTCCACTTTGTCTAGCGTCTTCTTCTCCGATAACTTTTTACTGTGCTTCAAATCTGCCTGTGCTTCAGATTTGCCCAGCGTCTTCTTCATTGTGCAACAACTACAGACTGTACACAGATCTGTGGAGAGAGAGAGAGAGAGAGAGAGAGAGAGAGAGAGAGGACACGTGTGTATGAATGCCTCTGTGTCTATGTGCGCGCGTGTGATTGTGTTTTGTGGAGACAGAGACAGGGGAAAGGAGGGGTGAAACGTGTGATTATTGCTGAAACAGATTTTATTATTTTTGTTCTTTAAAATTATTTTTAAAAATATATAACTAAACATATTTTATAATTTAAAAAATTTTAAAAACACTTTCTTAAAATTTTTTTCCAACAATAATTTTCAGAAACTATTTTTTGAGATATAAATCAAACAGCCCGTAATGATCACATTTTCTGTGGGATGTTTTAGTTGACGTTAAAATTAAGAGCAATGTTACATGAACTTAAAAATTAGACTTGATAATCTCGACCATTGATTTCACTGTGAGTCTCAACATTTATTGAAACCCACTACCTATTTAATGGTTGAGATTATCAAGTCTAATTTTTAAGTTCACGTAACATTATTCTAAAACTAAAACCCCCTCTTATGTTGTAGACCCACCTTCTTTGTTGTGTGGGCTCCCTAACTTGTTTTGGGTCAATTGACTTATGTGATATACAATGTTAGATATTGAGGGCCAATTGTCTTCGGTAATTCTACCGTGACCTAATTCATTATAATTATTAGATTGATCGTGAGTTTCATCAAACATTAAAATTTAATGTTAATTCAATAATTAACAAATTAAGTTAACTTTTTAAATTTAAATAACATTACTCATTCATCTTATTCCACCAAATGAGGAACTTTAGGATCTCTAGTTTATCATTACCATCGAGGTGAGCTATTTACAGTCATATTTAATCCTATCCATAGGAGATTTTTTTTTCTTTTTTGGCGGGATGACTAGATTGAAATCTACAACATTAAGATCCGACAGCAAAAACGAGGATCATTAGATCAAACTAGTAACCTTCATAAGAGAATTTTTACAACAGATGGAATTTTTTTTTTCTTTTTTTTTGGCGAGATGACTAGATTAGAATCTACAACATTAAGATTCAACAGTAAAAATGGGGACAATTAGATCAACTAGTAACCTCTATGAGAGAATTTTCACAACGGATGGTTTTTGAGTTGTACAACACATAGTGCAATAATACTTTTTTTTGGGTAAATGGTATAATAAGACATGTCCGAAATTACTACAAAAATTGCAACATATACATACCATACAACTACATTCTCCTACCCTATACATAAATATACATTAGTCATATGCTGCAGGTTCAAATCCGAAAATAAACCTTTCAACAAAAAGGATAAAATTGTCTACTATTCCACCTCCACTTTTTTTGGTGGAATTTGTTCAATGTTATTTCACATTTTTATTTATAATGATGTTTAGAATCAAGTTATTGATTCATTCGGTTAGCTCAATCCACCGTAGTTATTGGGTTGGCAGAAGATTTCATCACGAATTGAATCTACTATTAATCCAACGACAACAATGAATTGATATTGGTTAGCTCAATCCATCGTTGTTATTGAGTTCATAGAAAATTTCATCACGAATTGAATGTACTATTAATCTGACGACAACAATGAATTGAGCAATAAAGTGGGTTAGTAAACTGAACCTTAGACATATAGCTAAGAACTATCACAAGGGTAGGCCATAACAAAACCAAATGCAGTCACATTCCAATTATAATACCAACAACTAAAATTTAAAAAACAAAAGAGAGCAGTTTTAAATCAATCAAAATGTAATAAAGTCCTCCTCACAGCAATCTATTTGTTCCCCTAGAAGTCATCAAGCTAACATAAATAACGAAGATCAAGAAACAGCCATTGCACCAGAACTACATCAAAAGTGCCCCAAAGAATGACATGATGAGCATGATTACAGTTGGAGAAGATGCAGCAGCAGCCACCTCAACTCCACCACTACTAGGGGCTGTAGCTGCCGTATCGTTGGCGGACTGTGGCGGGGTTTCTGGCTCCAAAACTTTAACGATCATCTTCAGTCCTCTTTCACAGTGTCCGGCAACCCCACTAATGAAGTAGAACAAGCCCGGGCGGTCCAACCTGTAGACGGTGTCACCATTGTTGGAGAAGAAGATGGGGTGAGATGATTTGCATTTTTCATACTCCTCTTGCGTGACCACCATAACTGAATCCTTCTTGTACTCAAAATCTGCATATATACCGCAAATATATTTGGAAGCAAAGAGATTAAGCCACGAAAAGGTACTTATAAAAGAATTAGTAGAGTTAATGAAAACTTTTCTGCGTAAGAATGAGGAATTGTTTCATCCACGCGTACTAGATTAAAAATCTTAGATGCACACATTTACAAATTTTTTTACCACTGAACTTGAGTTTGATGTTATTTGTAAGACTCGAACTTAAAAGGGGTATGTTATCTCTCGCTCCTTATTTGATCTCCGAACCAAACCGTGCAAGTTTAATGGAGCATTTATAGTAAAGGGTATCTTCGAAAACCTTTTTTTTTTTTGTGCTAACTATGAGGCATTTGAATCACTTAGAACACTCAAATCCTCTCGGACACATGCAATTCTTCCATCTCATTTGTTTCAAGAAATTTCTAAATCCATATGTATAGCTACACACATATTACAGAATCATTACTTACGGAGAGTGTCATCGATTTTGAACCTATTGTTTGATGCCCAATCGTTGTAAAGTTGGACATTTTTTGATGGAGGAATGATCCAGCCTTTGTTCCCACCAACTTCAAACTCAACAGAAAGTGCAGTGAGGGAGTGGAGGGAAGAGAAGAAGGTTAGAAAGACAAAAACTTTGCAGATGCCCATGAAGAGAGAAGCCATTTTTAGGAGAGAAAACTCTTGCTTGGCAGTAGGTTAGAATAAATATTGGGTTTGAAGAGACTTAAGATTACTAGGCTGGAGTTAAAAAGAGTTGTTTTTGAGTTTGTTATTGTGAGAGAGAGAGAGATGTGGAGAATGTGGGATAGTTAGCGGCAAAAGATCAGGAAGGGCTATCTTTGACTTGGTGTAACGGAATTTCAAATTGACACCTGAGTTTATTGGGGTAAAGTCAAAGATCAGTGTACATGATTTTGTTAATCACACCAATAAAATAATTTAAAATTAATTGATAATTAGAGGGCCGTTAATTTTTATTTTCTGCTCATTTCCACCCCATTTTTGATGTAATAAAATCACTACAATGACGGGAAGAAAAAAAATTCCTCCGAAATTGAATTTCAATATGAAAGAGATTAACCGAGATTTTTTAAATGAGTAATATTGCATAATTCAAATGAAATAAAAAAGTTATAATTTAAATATATTTCATTTTTTAAATGAGTAGGTCCTTTCAACTTTTTCAGTAGAACTTACTCATCCAACACTCATCAAAACGATGATATATATTTGGGTTGTAATGTTTGGAATCCATTTGGGTTATGTAGTGTTGTTCCTGAAGGGAAAATTCGATGTAGATTTTTCCTCACAATTATACACGTGGAGGTATAGACACTTTATCTAGAGAGGGTGAATAGATTTTTTAATTTTCAACTTAGTTGATTACCAATTACAAACTAAACTAGCACAATTACATCATTCCACAAAGATTTATCAATTAATATGAAAACTCCTTTAGACACGTGTCGCAACCCACTTTGACCATGACGATTGATTTAATTAATTTTTAATTAATTCACTCGTAATCAATCTCACATTAATCCTAAATCTCAAACTCAATTGCACAACTATGGTTGAATGAATATCAAACAATAAAATTAACAAACACATAGTGTGCGTGTATGCAAACAATCACAAGTGTATACGATAAATTGTAAATAACACAAGTGAATTATTGACGCGGAAAACCCTCCTAAAAAAAAACCACATGGAACCTTCTCGGTTTATCAAAGTCTAATTCATTATTTTCTAAGTTAACATACAAGCATTTGAGTTTTATATCTCAATCAATATCATGGTTAGATGTTTATGTCTTTGTTGTCTTTTCGCCAAAGTCTTTCATTCGACGTCTAGCGTAGCTTCATTTGGACTGCCCGATTGGACGGTTCGTCTAAGCCTCGGGCAATTCTGGACACACCAACAATCCTCGGTATGCATACACTAGTGATTTTATCAAACCAATAAGATCTTCTTTTTCAAGTTGTAAGGTTTGGTAGAATATCTAGTGGGTTTTACAGATCTAAGTTGTGGTAGAACCTTTTAAGATAGAAAGATGATTTTTTCTCGTAAGAATCTCACAAAAGGCTTGACTTAGATGTGAAAAAGGATATCTCTATTTATAGGTCCAGAATAAAGATAGTCTTATTAAATAAGAAAACACAAATGTGCAAACGACTGCTCGATTGGTGGAAAGATGGTTATAGGTCGGTTGTTGCCGAAATGAAAATTATGTTTCAGTCTTGATTAAGGCAAGCATCGCTTAAGGGACCATGAGAATGCCTTGAGCGACCATGAAGGACAGCTTGAATGAGCTCATAGAACGATTTTTGTGCTACTTTTCGTGGCCTTTTCTCATTTCTTTCCTTAAGTCATAAAGAGATTGCTCTAGCGAAGGTTATCGAATTGAAATTTTTTTTTGATTTCTTTATTTTAGGTATTATTATTATTGTTATTTGTTTATTGAAGGGGTTAGCCCCTATTATTACACGTGTTATGGAAATTAATGAGGTCATGTGAGGATGACAAGACATGACACTTAACGAAGACATCAACTGCTCGGTCAAAAAGTCTTAGTCGCACTAACCAATGTGTTCGGTGAAGCAATATCTGTACCCAACCGAGTTCATTAATATGTTTGGCAAGACAACAAAATAGTTCGGCTTGTACCAAACGGAGTTGATCTATTAGTTCGGCAAACATCGAAAGTGTTCAGCCCTTATTATGTCCAAGCTGTTTGAAACGATAGACAGAAATGTGAAAATTTGCTTATAACTTAGGCATTCAGATAAACAAATCAACGAAATTGAAGATACCACGAGGAATTGCTAGAGAAATATCAGCAACTTCCCAAACTGAAACGCAGAATTGAAGAAAGGTGTGTCACCTTGAACCAAAAATCACAGAAACCCTAATGGGGTAATGATCTATAAAAACCTAAAGGAATCAAGGTGAAAGGTAAGCTGAACACTCCTTGTCTTCTAGCAATTATTCTGTTCCATTATTGACTTAATCATCGGAGTGCCTTCGATCGAAGCACTTTGATCTTGGGCAGTTTGTTCGTTTTGCACAACAGGAAGATTGAGAGATCAAGTTTAGAAATATTCTTTACCAGAAATATCAAATCCAACCTTTAGTGAGAGGTATAATCAATTTTTACCTCTTATATTTTGGCGCCGTCTGTGGGAAGTTTCTTAAACATTCGCAACTAAAAGCTACGATGTCGAGACTAAGAAGTGCAATTGGATCTCTTAGAGGCAGTTTGCCTTGGGAAACTTTGATCCAGTATCACCACCATCTAGAAATGCTAGATTACACGCCAATAGAAGTCTGTCTAGACCTCTCGAAGATGACGAAATATCTTCAGCCAGTTTCAAACCATCCAGAGATCGAAATCAGCAAATTATAGGACATGGGGATTCCCTCCGTGCCGAGGAGGAAAACCACTCTTTGGCGAAGCTGGTCCAATCGCTACAGGACAGACTGGATGCACACGACCAGTTATTCAAAAAATCCTTTTCCAGAGAAAGAGATCTGACAAAAGAAAATGAAGAATTGAAAGCCAGAGTAAAGGACTTGACTAAAAAAGGGAAGCGTGAAAGGGACAACCGACGAGAAAGTCCCAAGAAAAAACATGATAGAAATAAGGAAGTTAGGAATGATAAGCACCAGAAAAGACCTCAAATTCTGGAGGAAGACTCATGGAAGCAATACATTACCGAGGAGCTCAACAATCACTTGAAAAAATCAGAACAAAGGTCGGCAAGGGAACTAGCCGGGAGGGCAACGGGGGAGTTCGGCAACGGCTCCGAATCGTCCCCTTTCACTTTCGTGGATTGAAGGAGGGAGAATCCCGAGCAAGTTTACTGTTCCAAGTTTTAAACTTTATGATGAAAAAATTGACCGATCCTCATATATCGGACATTATAGACAGTTGATGACAATCCACGGAAGGAACGAGCCACGACTTTGCACCATCTTCCCTAGCAGTCTAGGGGAGTCGGCCATGAAATGGTTGACAGTTTGTCGAAGGGATCGATTGATGGATGGTCGCAGTTAGTCGATTAGTTCACAGCACGGTTCATTACAAGTAGTAAGCAGTCGAAGGATGTTGGAGCTCTTCTAACTTTGAAGAAGAAGCATAATGAGACCTTGCGAGAGTACGCTCATCGTTATTGGGAGACAATGAATGAGGTCGAGGGATGCAACTCCGAAATCATAGTGGCATCCTTCAAAATTGGATTGTTAAAGGAAAACCCTCTGTACCAATCACTCACTAGAAGACTTGCCACCGATCTGGAAGAGTTGATGGCAAGAATTGAAAAGTATGCCAAAGTTGACGACGACTTATGCAGAGATGTAGTTAGAAATAATCATGGTAGGAAACAGTTCGGTCAAGACAAGCAGACTAAGCCGAGTTGTGAGGGCGGGAAGAAGAATGAGAAGGAAGGTTATCCCCAGAAGTTCCCTTTTCTTGGCGTGACCACACTGTTCAAGGACCCGATATACAAGATCCTAAATCAAATCAAGGCACACCATTCTTCAAATGACCTAACAAGCTTACTGGAGATTCTTCGAAGAGAAATCCAAACTTCAAATGTTCGTATCATTGGGATATTGGGCACATGACGAAAAATTGCCGATCCTTAAAACAACCTTTGGAAGAACTCGTGTAGATAGGTCATCTTAACGAGTTCATTGAGGATGGGGTAGGAACCAGCGGTGGGAGAACTAATCCCAAAGGAGACCATAACACTCCAGCTGGAGTGATTGATGTAATCCACGCTACGACAAATCCACAGATGTCTACGAACAACTCGACAAGGGCATACATTCATAAAGTTGCAAAGGAAAGGGAATTCTTTGAGTTGGGATTAACCCCCGAGATCGGGAATAAAAGAATCAAGTTGGAGTCGGCCAAGGCAATCTGCTTCACCGAACAGGATCTGGTCGGCGTTCACCAGCCACACAATGATGCACTAGTCGTCACACTTCAAATTGCAAACTACGATGTGAGAAGGGTTTTGATTGATCCCAGAAGTTCGTTAGAGATCATGTACACAGATCTCTTCGAGAAGCTTGGTCTTAAAAAAGAAGATCTAAAGCCTTCAAACACTCCACTTACTGGCTTTAGTGGAAAGACAGTTCTTCTTAGGGGGAAGATCACACTGCTTGTAAAAACTAGACCAGTTTGCATCATGATCGAGTTTCTGGTAGTAGATACGGCTTCATCTTACAATGCGATAATGGGTCGATCGTAGCTACATGAGATGAAGGCGGTACCATCAACGTACCACCAAATGTTGAGATTCCCCTCATCCGAAGGAATAATGAATATCCGGGGAAACTAGGTTAGTTCTAGGACTTGTCTGCTGGCTTCTGTCAAAGGAAAAGACATAATAGAAGTTCACGAAAAGAGTTCAAAGACCGATAACGCAAAATAGCAATTAGCACCCAACAGCTCAGCAGGCCGAACAATAGAAGACTTGACTAAAGTACCTTTAGACAAGGATGAAGATCCAAAAAAATACTTCTTGTTGGGGCAACTCTTAGTCCTGAACAGAAAATGAAACTCGTCATATTACTGCAAGAATATGCCGATATTTTTGCTTGGAGCACTAGTGATATGCTCAGCGTACCGTCCGAAGTGGCATGTCATCACTTGA